GAATCTACCAACAAAAGCTCTTTAAACTAATCGTGTCTAGTATGTAGGGTATTTAGCTCATTTGAAAAGTTAAACTGTTTTATTTGCACTATTTAAGCAAAAGATAAATTAGATGCACTAAACAATCACAAGATAAATTGACTCAGAGGCTAAATATGATGAATATCAGGTGAGCACAAGTTCATAAACCATGACATAGCGCAAGTCTCAATTGGATTAACGACAGCAAAAAAAAAACTTCACTACTTATGCATTTTGAGTATCAAGATTGGGCTGTTGCAGCATGGTATAAGCTTATTTTGTCATTTTATGCTCAAATTCGTATCAAAAATGTTGAGCTTGGAAAACCGGAAGTTGTTATACATTTAGATTCAATAGATCAACTTATAAGAGGCGTTAAATGCTGATAGCTCCTCTTGGAGCACCTTTATAAATTAAAAATAAAAAAAAGGGCGCCAACTAGAGTTGCTGTCCTAAGCGGCGAGACGGGGGCCCATATATATATATATATATATATATATATATATATATATATATATATATATATATATATATATATATATATATATATATATATATATATTGTTTTTTTACAATTTTTCCTTCCTCCAATGCAATCAATTGAGTTTCTTGAAATTACTAATAGAGAGATAGCGAATCCTATAAATTTAAAAACAACTCGTTGAAATTATCAAAAATTGTTTTTTAATTTATAATTGTAATCTTTTTTAATAAGTTAGGAATGTATTTGTTTTTCAAATTATTTGAAAAACAAGGATTCTTTTTTATTCTGTTAAAATAATTATAATTTTGTTAAAATAAAAATTGTTTTTTGTTTAAATGTCGGCGATAAAAAGCTGTGACTTTATTTGTTGGAGTTGGGGACAAATATGTACTGGTTTAAACGCCAGGAGGAGGGTGGGGACAATAGTATGAATAATTCATTAGCTTCAAAAGTTCGGTGAAAAAGTTTTTCATTACATTTTGGTATTGCCTTGGCAAACTTTCAAGGTATTAACTGCAAAAAGTACTATTTATCTCAGAATTGTCATGCTGCTTCAGGCCCGTGTAATAATTTTTGAACAAAAAAAGTCACATTGATCCGGTCCAGTAGCTTGTCCCGTCGGTGTCGATAACTTTTTATTCCTAGCAACCATTACAAGCAAACCATTACAATTTTTTTTGAGTAAATCACTCAAAAGGACGTTTTTTGTAATTGTTGCAATTAAATAAACGTTATAATGCCAAACAAATAATTTTGTTCAACTATTTTCAAGCAAAAGTAAAATTTCTCTATGTGATCTGCTATTATTAAGATTATTTAAACAAAAAAAAAAAAAAAATCGAAAAAAACAAAAAAAAAAAAATTTAAAAACAGTTTTTTTTTCTTTCTGTAGTTACTATTATAGAAAAAAAAAAGTTACTGTTAACTTAAAAATTACTGCTAACGTAAAATGAATCTAAATATAGAAAACAATATTATAAGATAGTAAATTACTTATTTTAATAGGAAGTAAAGAATTAAATTTTTAAAATAGACACAAATGAAGAAAAAATAAAAGTAAAAAACAGCTACAAATACAATAATACAAAAAATTCATCAATAAAATGGTATCTGTGATTATTTTGAAAAATAAAGTAATATACTTTTTCAAACTTTCGTACCTGATTTGAAAAATGTCGTTCAGATTTGGGATAACCTTACAAATAAAAAATTATGTATTATCTGTAAAATGCTAATGTTTTACCAAAGTTATGATGCACTCGTTGGCAAGAAGGATAGCTTCGATGTGACAGCTCGTGGTTTAGTTGCTGTACACATAACAAAAGTTTTTATCTTATGAAAATATAAAGCTAGCAACACTTAGCATGCAACAATTAACTTTGAAAAACATTAACTTTACAACAATTTTTACTGGTGGAAAACTTCATCTTCTAACTACAATGGTAATATATATTATTTATGAAGTACTAAAAATAAATTTGCAATAAAATTAGAAAATTTATGATGTTAGGTTAAGTCTTAACCTAGCACCGTAATACATATACATCATATTATAGTTTTAAAAGTTAATTGTTTTTTCACAATTTTTCCTTCCTCCAATTCAATCAATTGGGTTTCTTGAAATTACTTTATTAATTATTATCTTGAAATTAACTAATTATTATCTTGAAATAGAGAGATAGCGAATCCTATAAATTTAAAAACAATTCATTTATATATATATATATATATATATATATATATATATATATATATATATATATATATATATATATATATATATATACATATATATATATATATATATATATATATATATATATATATATATATATATATATATATATATATATATATATATATATATATATATATATATATATATATATATATATATATATATATATATATATATTGTTAAATCTTTTAACTATGATATTTATATATATATAATTTTTTATATATATTATATATATTTTTATATATACTTTATATATATTTTTTCCTTAATCTTAAGTATAATTTTTAATCTTAACTTAATTTATAATTTTTCTTGACTTAATTAAATCTTAACTTGATTTATAATTTTTAATCTTGATTTAAAAGGCACTCAACACTTAAGAGACAAATCATAAAAGTGACACCTAAGAGACACATAATAACCACAAAAAAAAAGCAAATAAATAAAAATCATTAAAACAATATAAACAAGTAATAAATAAAATAATGCTTATTTTAAGAAATATAATGTGAGCATTTATATTTGTATTTGAGCTTATACATTAGGTTTTTAACTAATTTACACATCGATTAAAAGTGATTTTACATATTACATAAATCACTCTTGTAACATCTCCCATGCTAGCAACATTACTTATTTATGTCAGCATTACCCATTTATGTTATCTAATAACATAAATGGATATCTTGACTGTCATATGGTGGTTTATTTTACTCATGTTTTTAATTTTGTTCTGTAAATTAAAAAATGGCCTTAATTCAGATTGAAAATAACAAATCTTCTGTAAGGAAAGTACTTATCTCATAATGCTTTGTTCTAACTGGGGACAGTTTAGATAATGATAACGAAAATTGAAATAAAAAGTAATTAAGTAAAAAAATGTATATATTAATTAAAAATTAACACAATAAATGTTAATTAAAAATTAATATGATAAATGTTAATTAAACATTAACAAGATAAAGTAAAAATTGTTATTAAGAAAACAATAAATAAATCAAAAATAATTTTTTTTATAGTTACAAGAAAGAGGTAAAATTGAATTTTAAATTTATAAATTTTCATTGTAAAAATGATTATTAGATGTTTGATCGGTCATAAAATAAATGTTTGCTTGTGGAAATTTTTAAATAAACTAAAGTTTTCTTCATTATTTGATTTCTGTAATTTTGGGTGTATGAACTGCTTTGTCATAGATTAAAAAACAAAAACTACTTTTTTTAAATAAGCTAAACAGAGATAAGGTAGAGTTTCTTTATAGATAAGATAGTTAATGAATGGAAGATGTATTTATTTGGTTGTTTATTTTATTATATATTTGTTTATAAAACACTAGATTTGAGTTTTATACTATATATAATATGATAAGTTATTTAAATTTATTTTTATTTTTATAGATTTAATTGAACTCAAAATCATAAAAAAAGTTTACTGAGAGGCTTTTATATATGTATTTATTATATATTTGTGCTAAAGTTGTAATTGAGTGCTTGCTACACGTAAATGTACTTTGATTCCCACCATGTTCATCATGATAGTACACAGGATAGTGTAATAGCATAGAGGCCGTAAACAGTTATATCACTAAATGTGGTAGTGGTGTAGTGGTAGAGCGCTCGCTTCATAAGCAAGAGGTTCCGAGTTTAATCCCCACCACATCCCTGGTAGTACTGCGCTCAACTCGTTTCTGCGCGCAACGGCCTTGTTCATCAAGGTTTGTGTTTCGGAGTTATAGAGTTGAGAGAGGGTTATATAACCACAAATAAGTAGCCTCCTTGTCTGTAGTGGTCTTTTCGGCCTTGAGGAGATGAATTAACAAAAAAAAAATGAAAAATATACAAATTTTTTTTTTATTATTATGTAATTTTTATTATTATTCACTTTTCTAGATATTAAAAAAATTATATAATAAATATATTGTATTAAATAAGTTGTAAGTAGTTTATTTTATTTATTTTAATTTGTTTATTTTAAAAATTTCATAAATAAATTGTATGTTATGAAAATAATAATAATAAGCGTAACTCGTAGTATATAATAGTATAATATTTGGAATTTTAACATTTTTTTAAAGTTATATTTTTTCAATTAACTTCCTCACTCACTTACTAACACTTACTTTCACTAACACTTTAGTAGTGTCTTTCACTAACACTTTGTTAGTGTCTTTCACTAACACTTTGTTATTTTCTTTCACTAACACATTGGTAGTGTCTTTCATTAACACTTTGTTAGTGTCTTTCTCTAACACTTTGTTATTGTCTTTCATTAACACTTTGTTAGTGTTTTTCACTAACACTTAGTGTCTTTCAATTATACTTTGTTAAGGTCTTAACTGCTTTTAAATGATTTGAAAGTAAAATAAAAATTATTTAAAAGTAACTTTCAAAAAAAAAAGTTTACATTTACAAATAATAAGAATATATAATTCAAAGCTGTAGGCAATAACCTTATACCCAATAAGGTATAGGCAAGAGTGTAGGCAGTTATTTAAATTTGAGAAGTTACTAGTTAATAAGGCAGTTAAGTTATTAATTATTATTATTATTGTTATTATTGTTATTATTATCATTAATATTATTATATTATTGATTAATAAGAGACTCTGAATATACTAAGATATTTGTATATATGTATACAAATTATTATATTACATATAAGTTTTAGTATATTGTATATAGTAAGGTACTTGTAAAGTATTTATGTGTTATAAATACCTTATGTTTCATAGTATGTAATTTGTATTATTTTTAGAAACTGTTTCATGGTTACCACCGTGGTTAATGGCAGCAATTATTGACCAAGACCACACTGGAAAGATTCGTGTTGATGATGGATGTGATATGGTTTATCACTCAGATAATTGTACTATCCATTTAAAACCTATTGGTTCAAGTTGTAAACAATTGTTAAACTTTCGAAACATTTTTAAAGACCAATCAAAACTAGAAGTATTTTTTAATTTAACTGATTCAACATTTCCATCTGATAACTTTTATATCTATAATGTTAATGTAGGGTTATGTAATAACGACATAACTTTTATTACTAAAAATATAGTTTCAAATAACTTTATTGATCGATATATCTTACTTTCTGATGTGAAAATGGAAATAGTGTTGAAAGGTTTTGAGAAATTTGATCAATCAAAAATCTCCATTCGTGCTACAGGAAAGGGAATGATAAATGATAAACAGTATAAAATTACTATAACAAAAACATTTTTTAATGACTTTTTTAACATAAAACTAAATGCACACAAAGTGCATTTTGAAGATTTACTTTTCACATTTAGAATAGAGAAAATTTTTTATAAAGGTTTATGTATACTCAACAAAAAAGTTTTGGAAGCATTAGTTGCAAAAAAAATTTCTATTTCTGGAATTTATGACTTTAATAGAGGATTTTATTTTTCTGGTAATGTCATTTTTGCTGATCCTCATTCTAAACGACATTTTTCAACTGAAATAATTGTTTTGCGGGAACCTCATCAACCCCTAAAATTTGGGGTTATAATCAAAGGGAGTATTCACCAAAACATTCTGCCACTGTTAGAAGATATGTTAAAAAGAAAGCAATCAAATGTACCATTAATTGATGATGTTGGGCATGGTTTTTTAAGTATTTCAAGTCATAACATTTTACGAGCTAACTTTGACAAAAATATCCGTCCTCGTGCAATTCCAAAAGGAGTGGTTTTACAAACTATTTCAAAACTGAATGAGATCCATAAGTCACAGTCTGAAGTTTCTAACAATGATACATTAGGACTGCGATTGGTAAAGCTAATTATGTGCAGTAAAAAAGATCAAGTTGAATTTAACCCAAATAATAATATTGATTTGCACAAATTTCTTGGCAGAATAAGCACTGTTAAGAATGATTATTTTCCAAGTTGGTTGAAAACAAATGGAATTGTTTATGTAAAAGTTGAAAAACTAGAGTACTCTGGACCTAACAAAAGTAACATACTCTTGAAGCTAAAGCTCAAAACCTCTTTAAAAGTTTTATTTGGAACAATAAAAATTAGTAAAATAAATTTTGATTTAACAATGGATAGAAGTCATAAACCAAATCAATGGATATGTGGATTTTCTTCTGTAAAAAAATCTATAGGATCAATAGAGTTCAAAGTTTCAATTACTTGTGATAAAGGCCTCAAGAATTTCAGAATAATTATTGAAAGTGTTTATTTGAGATTCAGTAAGCTCTTGGGGTTACTTCATATTGATAAAATTCCATTTGAATTGAAGAAAAATACAAATCAACTCTATAACTTTGACATAAAAGCTTTGCGAATTGAAGAAAGTCAAAACCAGTTCTTGAGGTATATTGAAATATTTTGTTTTTGATATATATTATGCGCTAATGCAGTTTTTTCAATGTTATTTTCATTTTATCTATGTTTACAGTTGACATAAATTGTTATATGATGTATTTTATGTTTTTATTAGATTTGTTTATGCTTTTTTTTTTTTTTAATTTATTTAATATGGTTTTTGTTTTAAAAAAAAAAAAAGAAACCTTTTATAAAATTTTAAATTATCACTAGTAATACTGAAATAGACATTAGTATATACTTTTATTCATATATTGATTGTCCATATTGATGTTTTATAAATTTTTTTCTATAATTGAGTAGTTATAACCATTAATTATTATTACTAAAATTAATTAAAACAACAATTATTTTTTATTGCTTGTTTTAGTAAATGAACTCTCAGTCTCTCAAGTCAATTTTTTAAAACAATTCAACTGATTCAATTCTAGCATCTAAATTTAGCAATGCTTTGCCCTTCTAAATCACATTTTTTATGTGGTTTAGAAGGGCTAAGACAGATGAAAAACAAACGCATTTGTTTTAATCTGTAAAATACAGTTTAGAAAAAAATAGTTTGTAGTTGAGTACAAAAGCAAAAAACAAAAAAATAAAATAGTTTTTTTTTCAGAAACAAATAGATCCCAAAAAGTTCAAAAGATTAGAAAGTGTTAAATTACAGATACAGGAAAATATTTTCATTCTAAAGAAAGATTGAAGTTCTAATTTAGGTTTTTATATACAAAATAAATTAAACTGGTAAACTTTAGTGGTCATAAATTATGCTAAAAAAAAAAACAACTTAAAAAGCTTGCTTTTCTACAAATTTTCAAATACATTACTAAATATGGTCCTGTTTTTTGATCTTAGTTACACTATTTAAAAACTTTTGATGCAGCTTACTGTTAAGCATGTTGGTTACTTTTGGCCCAAAAAAATTAATGATGTACTGACATGATCATGTGGTGGTTTTTTAATTTTGGTTAAATTATTTAAAATTTATAAATGCAGTTTACTGAAAGTCATGTTGGAGTTTTTTGGTCTATAAGAAATAATGATGTATTGGTATGTTGTGATTAGTTTTTTTAATCAGTTGAAAACTCATTCTTTATAAAACATCTTATTAATCAATTGAAAGTGCATAAAATTTAATAAAAAATAAGCCAGTAGGCAAATGATTAGACAATTGCATTTGTCAAAATGAGGTTCTAAATCATTTGTTTGATATTATTGTTGAATTTAAATATTTGAGATACAGATGAGAGTTTAAAGTTTGGAAACACATAATTGACATGTCAATTGTATCAGTTAGATAAAATCCTAATATTCAAAACAAACTAATTCAATAAACAAAGCAATATTTTAGACAATATTAGGTGAAGTTAATAAATGTTTATGTGATTGCTTTTATTTGTTAGTACCTAAGGTATAATGAAAAATACCAGAAAAATACCAGATATGTGTAATGAATAGGCATGTGAATTTCATGGTTTTTTTTATATTTTCAAATTAAAACTTTTTTGATTAAGCAGATTTTACAGCAGTGAGAATGAAAAATAAAATTTTATTTATAATGAACAAAATAGATTGAATATGTAGTTTTCATTAGAATTAAAGAATTAAAAAAAGATTAGAATCCTAATTAAAATAATAATAATATTGTGATAACTATTAGCAGTTAAAATTCACTAACTACCACATGCTGTCACAGAAAAGAGGTCAGCAATCAACAATGGTGACATTTTTTCCGAACTAGAGCATGAGTGTTATCAGCCAGTGTCAACGGCCTTAGAGGTTAGATTATTAGAAAAATTATTAATATAAATGAAAAACAACACAACTAAGGATAGAACCTTGTGTTGCCACAGGAATCACTGAAAATAAAGTTGAGTGTCACTGGGGGTAGAAAGGAATGATTCATAAGTTTAAAAAACTTTTCCAGATACACCATTTGAAGTGTTAACAGTGAAGGCTTAAAAATTTATAATCGGTCTTGCTTGATGCATATTTGGTGTGTTGGATTCTTTATCAGCATAATATATACATTTATCAGCATAATATAAACATTTATTAGCATAATATATACATTTATCAGCATAATATAAACATTTATTAGCATAATATATACATTTATCAGCATAATATATACATTTTTCCAATTCAGATAATCTTTAGAGTGATAACTTGCTAAGTTAAGTTAAAATAATTTTTGAAACCAAGAAGAAAAAATAAAAACTTCCATGCATGCCTGAAGTCAAAAGATGATGTTAAACTTTAACATAATCTTCTGAATTAAAATTGCACCTACAATAAAAGTGCAATTTTTCTGCAGAATGACAAAAGACATCAGTCTAAGGACCGTCATTGAAAATAGCACATAAATAATCCCAGTCATTGAAAGTCAGAAAAGAAATCCCAAGAAAAGAAGTCAGCCTTAAGATTGCAGTAAGAAGTGATTGTGTTATGAGGAAGCTTAAGATAAAATTTTTTGTGAGAACATGGCATAACCTGAACCATGTATATAAGGACAAGGAAATATGAGAAGGCAATTAGGACTTTTTTTTTTGAGCTTTAGTGCCTGCAGGATCAGTAGTAGATCCAGTTCATTTAGTGTGATAATCATTTAAGTCACAAATAACAACAATTTAGCTGATGAATAAAGAGTGCAGTCTTTTTAAGAAGAATAAAATACAAGCTACAAAGAGAAAGGTAATTGAGAGAAAAAGTGCTCATGACAAATAGGGGAATAAGTATGTATATGACCAGGTCATGTATATGACATAAAGACTCCACTTTTGTGAATCAAAGAGAAACAACTATGAACACTACTATCCAAAGTTGAAACAGCTAAACTAAAAATAATCTCATAATTAGCAAATATGTCTCCTATATTTTACAAGAGGTGTAAGACTCAACAGGTTTAAAGTTTCTTTGAAGACCATAAATTTTTTTAAAGGATAGATAATTTGCTGGTAATTATGTTTTTTTTATGTTTAACACTTGTAGATATTCATGTTTTAAATAAACTTGTGTTTAAAAGTAAACTTGACTCAGTCATAATAAACTAAGCAGTTGTTTCTGCTGATCAGTCCAAGGTTTTAACTAAGGGGTCTACATGTAGTCTCAAAATTTACACCTAAAATATTATCTTAGGAACCATCCATGCGCAACACTGTTAATTCTTTGATTTTTTATAGCTGTTGACGAAATCAGCTTCTTTGAGAACCACCGCAAAATTTAGGAACTGTAGGAAGATCATTTAGCAAATTAATAAAAGTCTAAACAAGAATTAGGGACTGTAAGACTATAGCAGAAGAGTTTTTTTTTATATATTTGCAAATACAAGTAGTAAGGGAAATTAAGAAAGCAAAATTGCAAGAGTTTAATGTTAAAGTATTTGCAACAATAAAATCAGTTATCAGTTTTTAGATAATTGTTCATGATTTTTGTAAATATAAATATAAGTACTTTCAACAAATTTTGTGTTGTTATTTTTTTGTACTCTATACATATAAATACTATTATCAGAATTATTTTTTATTTTAGAGTAATTTAACCAATTTTAATTTGGAATGGCTAATGAGTGGTGTAGAGGTCATATTAATATGAAAAAATATTTTTTTTGTTTGAAATATTCTCCATGTTTTTTTAAGCTACACTTTTTGCAAACCAGGGCATTTGTTTTTCAAGAGGTTGTTATCAGCAAACTTAGATTGCTATGCATCAGTTTTCTTTCTTTTTTTTTTTAATTCTGGTTCACTCCCAACAAAATTGCAAGCAACCACTATCAAGTTGAGAGTTACTTGAAAACAAAAAAAATAAAGTCAAAAAGCTAGAAATGGTTTGACAGAAGACTTAAAAAGTTATAGATTGAATAAGTCAGGAAAACATAAAGATGGGAGAAATTTTCAAAAGTTTGAAGTGCTTGGAAGCTTAACAAATAAAAGATTTTATACACGCAGAAACAGTAAAAGGATGTGACTTTGCTGAATGACAAGTCAAGTCAGAATGAGTTATGATTAATGAAACAAGAGATAATAGAGATAATAAGAGATAATAGAATATATTTATTTAGATAAGAGATAATAGTTCCATTGAGCAGTGAACGTGGTAGTATTTTGAGAAAAGAGAAAGAAATACAACTTTACAACAATTTGAAAGAAGCTCAAGCACACACACATGCATATATATTTTAATAACATTTTATTTTTAAATATTAAACATTTTTAATTCAGGAAAAGTTGTATTTGAAATATAACATTTTTAATTCAGGAAAAGTTGTATTTGAAAGATAAGAGATAATAGTTCCATTGAGCAGTGAACGTGGTAGTATTTTGAGAAAAGAGAAAGAAATACAACTTTACAACAATTTGAAAGAAGCTCAAGCACACACACATGCATATATATTTTAATAACATTTTATTTTTAAATATTAAACATTTTTAATTCAGGAAAAGTTGTATTTGAAATAGTTTCAATTAAAAAATCTAGATTTTAAAAGTCATTAAGTAAAACATTTTTTGCAGATTTGAAAAAATTACAGAACTGAGTTTCAAAAATCTCTTGTTTTTTTTTCAGTAAAAACTAATTTTTCTTAAAAGATTTTAAGTTCACTTATTTTCTTAACTTAGGTCAAAAAATTTTATTATTTCATTAATGAATTTCCTGTCATTGGTATTTTAAGTTTAGAGTTACAACTTAATTGATATATTTTAAAAGTAATATAAAAATAATAGTTAAACAAAATAATATAAAACTAAAGATGAAAAAAAAATACCAGCTTTTTCTTGTCTGAGTCTGTGGTTAAGAAAAAAATCAAATCAAGTGCAAAAGAAACAGATGAAATCAAAATTAAAACATTAGATTTACCTTCTACAAACATTAATTATGAGTGAACATTAAAACAAAACACAGAGTTTTGTTCCTAAAATGAGCAGCCCTGTTTTTTACAAATAAAGCTTGGCTGCACTATAAGCCAAAAATTGAAAACATTTGGTCATTTTCCAAAACATTTGGCCAAGATGGAAATAAGAATACTTAAAGATCATCAAAGTATATTCTAAAAAATATAATATAAAAGCATATTCTAAAAAATATATTATAAAATTATATCCTAAAAAATATAATACAAAATTATATCCTAAAAAATATAATATAAAAATATATCCTAAAAAATATATAAAAATATATGATAAAAAATATAGTAAAAAAATATATCATGAAAAATATAGTGTAAAAATATATCATGAAGAATATAATGTAAAAATATATCATGAAAAGTATCTAAAGAATTGTTCAATCTTTAAGTTTCTATGATGGCATAGAAAAAAAAACAACAGCTGAGTTTGCTACATAATTAATGTCAACTAAAACTGGTTAGGGGAGGGGGGTCTGAAATTTTTTTGATAAATGTTAACAAGAGGGAGGGGAAAGTCAAGAAAAGTTGCCGTTTACAATGTTACTTTCTTTATTAAATTTATATACTTGAAAAAGGAAAATAAAAGATGCTTTTTAATAGTTTTTGTTATATTTGGCAGAAATTATGAAATTATCATTAGGCAATACTATTAATGAAATTTCAAGTATTATTAGATTCAAATCATTTTTTGAGCTTTACATAAAGCATGGTGGAGAGGTTAAGGCCATCGCTCTTGGCATTACTAAAGTGTTTGATAAAGTTCGGCATGCTGGTTTTCTCCATAAACTTTCTTCTTACAATGAATCTACAAACCTCTTTAAGATTATTTAATCCTTCTTTTCCAATCATAGTATAAAAGTTGTCGTTGATGGACAGCACTTTTCTTATTCTGTAACCTCAGGGGTTACTCAAGGTTCATTCCTTGGCCCTATACTCTTTTTACTTTACATTAATGATCTTTCAGATATTCTCACATCTGAGGTTGCATTGTTCGCTGATAATACTATCATTGATTCTTGTCATGATAAGAAGCCAACTCTCTCTGATTGCTTGGAGGGATCATTTGAGCTTGAAAAGGATCTCATTTCTGCTATAGCATGGGGCTCACAGTGGCTGGAGAACTTTAATTCAGATAAAACTCAAATCAGCCAATCGTTATCACAATAATTTAGACCTTCCTATATTTATGAACGGTTATGTACTCGATAAGTCATCTACCCTTCATCTTCTAGGATAAACTCTTACTTCTAATTTTTCTTGGAAACCATATATCAAGTCCGTTGCAAAATTAGCATCTGCTAAAGTTGCATCTCTTTATCAAGCTTGACACTTTCTTACTCCTGATTCTATTCTCTATCTCTATAAATCTCAAATCCGGCCTTGTATGGAGTACTGTTGCCATATCTAGGGCGGATCTTCTAATGATGTCCTTTCTCTTTTAGACAAGGTGCAAAAACACATTGTAAACATAGTTAGACCTGCTCTTGTAGCCAAACTTCATCATTATCACATCATCGTAATGTTCTCTTTTCTACAAATACTTTAATGGCCACTGCTCTAAAGAGCTAGCGTCTTTTGTGCCATCTACTAAAATTCACTCTCGTGTTACTCATCATTCAGTTAAGTCTCATCCTTTTTCTGTTACAGTTCCTAAGTGCTTTAAAAACTCTTATTTGTCTAGTTTTTTTCCTTGAACATCAGTTCTTTGGAATTCGCTTCCTTCATCTTGCTTTCCTGATTCATATAATTTGCAATCTTTCAAGTCGTCTGTCAATTGTTATCTTGCTCTACAATCTTCATCTTTTCCCTTCCAGAAATTTCCAACACTAATTAGTGGTTGCTTGCAGCCTTGTTAAAAGCGAAGATGTTTAAAAAAAAAATATATATATATATATATATTATGGTATTTTTAGTTTATCAGTCAACAAGCTGCTATCAAGAATAGACTATTTCATGTTATATTTAATGTCAAATAGTTTGTACAAGTTTAGTCTAATAAGAAGATAACTGTTTGACTAAAATGTGTTTAAATTAAATTTTTATTTTTTTACCTGATATTGATTTTTTTAATTAACTTGTACTGACATTTTCAAGGCTATGTACTTTTTTTCAAGGCTATGTACTTTTTTTCAAGGCTATGTACTTTTTTTCAAGGCTATGTACTTTTTTCAAGGCTATGTACATTTTTTCAAGGCTGTGTACTTTTTTTCAAGGCTATGTACTTTTTTTCAAGGCTATGTACTTTTTTTCAAGGCTATGTACTTTTTTCAAGGCTATGTACTTTTTTTCAAGGCTATGTACTTTTTTTCAAGGCTATGTACTTTTTTAAACTTTTCTAAATATTTCTTCACACAGTACATTATCCTTTTAAGAAGCAACATTGCAAAAATTATTTTTTTTCAATCCATTTCAATTTAAAATGAATTTTTGCAAGTTAAAATTATATACTTATTATATCATCTTTAATCTAGCTATAGATTACATAAAACCTGGTATAAGTTTTTATTTTATTTGTAAATTAAAAATGCTTACATGAAAGTCTTGATTTTAAAAGTACAAGTCATGATTTTTTTCAGTGCTTTTTTTTTTTTTTTTTCCCATTGCTGTGTGGTACTTTATAGTACCACACAGTACTATAGAGTACCACACATGAATGCATCTAACTTGCTTGTATTTAAGGTACCATAGAGTACTACATAGAAATTAGGAAAGACCTGAAGGTCTTTCCTGATTTCCCAGTGTTTGTATACCATGAATACTAGTCAGCTGGGTAAGCAAGTAGACACCTGTATGTACTTCTTTTCTTTGCAAGGCAGGTTTAACTGAAGGGGGCCACTACAATTAGGAAGTTTCTTTTTCATATTTATTTTATCTATTTTATCCTAATTGTTATTACAACTTGTCTTCTAATCCTTGCAGCAACTTCATAAAGTTTTTATGAAGTTGCTGCACAGAAAAACAAGTTGTTTGTAAAATGAGATAAGTCCTTTTCACTTGACAACAAGTTGTTTGTAAAATGAGATAAGTACTTTTCACTTGACAACAAGAAAACAAAAGAAAATCCATAACTTTTATTTACACTTTAACAATTGTACAATAGATTTTATTTTAGGGAAGGCTATAGTCATAATAGTGTCTTTTTTTCCATCAAACATTGGATATCCACTTCCATACTTTTTATTATTGTATTTGAGAGGTTTTTAATTTTAAACATATTTTATTTAGACTAACTGGTGTTCCACTTTTGTTTGGCATGGAAAATTTAGCTATGGAAGGTATAATTTGGCAGGAAGGAGCTGAAAAATGGTTTGCAGTTGGTATTGTTTTGAAAGATGTTGACTTCATTGATATGTTAAAGAAATTAACTGGGACAAAAATAAATGCATTTTGGGTTGGAAAAACTACAACATGTATATCTGTGTACTTTTTTATATATTTTTTCTTTATTTTTGTTTATTTTTTAAAACACTTTTGTTACCTTTTGTATGAATATATATATTCTAGCAATTTTGTTGAGTAACACAAATTCAAGTCCAGCAGTCTATACTGAAAATCACAATCACACAATTCGATTGAGAAGAGATACCACTAAAGAATACTTTGATAACACGCAGAATAATAATATGGCAGCAAACTCACTGTTAACTCAGCCAAACTATGGACAATATTTTTCAGATTTCCTTCAACATAATGAAGTTGCTTCTCCAAGTTCTCAGAATACATATTTAAATCCTTACATAGAGCCTCTACAACAGCAAATTCCTCAGCAAGTTTCATTTTTTAATTCAAAGTTTGAGTCAAATTCAGATTTTCTTGATCCGAAAAGGGTAAATGGTTTCAATATTATGAATACATTGTCTGGTCAACCAATTGTTTCGTTAAACACATTACCTGGTCCATCTATCACTTCAACAAATACTTTGCCTCTGCAACAAAGTACAATGCCTGGTCAACCTATCAATTCAGTAAATATTTTTGCAGACCATCAAGTGAGTACACCTTCATCAGAACACATTTCCTCAATGCCAAGTTACACACCGGCCAGTGGTAACCTGGAAAATTTAAAGCAAGAAAATTTTTTAAAAGGTGTATTTTCTGGTTTAAATAAAATGCCATCATCACCTTTGTTAAAAGAAAATGACTTGAATAATGGATCACCTGTTCCCATAAATAAATATCCTAACTCAGCCAGTTTTGGTCAAAATGTTGAGTCACTGCCGACATCTGGTCCAATAACAATATCTCTTGCAAATCCATTTCTTTATTCACAAAATAGTTTTTTGCCCACAAACTTTGTCTACCAGCCACAACCATCAAGCTTAACATTCAATAAAAATAGTATTGCTCCTACAGTCTCAATTATGAATAGTTTAATGGAAGCATACCATAAAATTAATATGCAAAAAATGAAAGAAAATCAAAATCAGGCAAAAAATATTGAGGCAGGAATTATAGATATGATGGCAGATAAGCGTTCTTTACCACTTAGTATCCAGGATCCCCTAGTTCATAATAATTTGTATGATATATTTATGAATAATGCTGATGCTATGATGAGGAGCTTGAGCTTTTCTAAAAATTTAGTTACTCATGATGACAAACGAAAATCTAAAATTCCTAAACCTGATTCATTGAAAGCTAAACACAGTAAGCCTTTAAAAACATCAAAAAATAAAAGTTCATTTATGAAAAAAAGAAGAAAGAAGTCTGTAAAAAAAAAGAATGTATTACGAAAGAATTACAGAAATAAAAAAAGAAGTGAAATAAAACACAAAGACATAAAAAATAATGTAGCTGATTTAAAACATAATAAAAATGACAACTTGACGAGTTCTAAAATAAAAAACAAAATACAACAAGATGTTGATAACATTACAAATGTTTCACTAAGACATAATTTCTCTCTTCTACCTCACACAACGTTTAATGATTCATCTTTTATTTATAAATTGTCATCTCAGCCTTCTTCTATCAAAAAAGCTTCTAAAGTATTAAAAAATGAGCAAGAGAAAATTTCCAAAAAAACCAAAACACTTAAGCAAAATGCTTCTGTTGCTCGTGATTGGGTAGAAGTACATATACCAGAAACTGCAGAAGATTTCTTTAACCCATCAGCAAACGAAGATGAGAATGTTCATTTTTTTAAAAACAAAACACCTGTTGTGATAAATGATTTGATTGGTTCATTTGCAGAATCGATTGCTAAATCCAAATCATCTGATAAAGTTTTTTTTAATGAAAGACTTGGTCTTTCTCGACCTAACATTACAGGATTGAATGAGCGAGCAAACATCAGTGATAATAGCAGAGAACAACAAATAACTAATGAGGTTCCAGAAGAAATGCTTCATAATATTTCATTTTCAAGTGTTGTGAACAATTCATTGATTGACCACAAAAGTTTTAACAAAAACACTACTCAAGAACTTCATTACAATTCAAAAATAAATACAACAACAGAAATCGATAGTGCAACACTAGCTACATTCAAAATCATTAATGATAAAGTAGATTTAACAGATAATCATAAAAAAAGTCTCAAATTTATTAATGAATCTCACCAACCACTTGAATCTATTGAGCAAAAGAGTTTACATGACGTGATTTGGTTTGGTTCAAAGTACAGCACTGACCCTGAAGTTTTTGACAAGTATAACCCAAAACTTAATTATTTACATAATAACAGCATTGTTAATAAAACTTCAGATAATATAAATCATCCAAATACTAAAATTGTAAATGAACCATCTAAACATTTGCAGCAGTTTACTGACATTGTTCCAGAAAGTTCGATATTAACATCACCAACAAGTTCATTGACAGTAAAGGTACTTAAATCAATGAATACTAAAAGTAATCCTAAGAAAAACATCAAGTTATCTTCTGGAAAGGATAACATTAATATATCTTCTGAAAAGAATAACATCAAGATATCTTCTGGAAAAGATAACCTCAATATATCTTCTGGAACAAATAAATCTAAAAATATAATAGCAGTAAAGGATGATGTAGATGATATTGAAGTTATAACAAATCCTGGTATTCATAATCATTCATTGAAATCTGGTCATCCAAACATTTTTAAACTTAGTTTGACTGATGGAGATATAGATGACTTAAGGAGTATTAGTCAAAAATTGAAAAACAAATCATCTGTTACCATAGATACAAGTAATAATTCTATTATTAAAGCAGAAAGCAACATTACAGTATTGAATAGATCATTATCAATTGATAATGAAAATAAACTGTTTTTAATAAATACCGATGTAAAACGCATAAATAAAACAATAGATAATAAAATAAAAAAAAATGATTCTAAAATTATAGCCAATAAAGTACAACAAACAACTGATGATGCTCATAGACTAAACAAGGATAACTTCAGAAAAAATAAACCAGATACTTCCAATGTTACTTCTAATGATGTTTCCAATGATGTTTCCAATGATGCTTCCAATCAGATACCAGATGCTTCCAATCAAATAAACAATGGTTCCTTAGCTATTGAGATTCTTAAAGACTTACTTGAAAACAATAGAAATTTTAACAATGAAAGTATTGCACCAAACGGGACTGCACCCAAACCTGAAAAGCTCCGTGAAAAATCAAATTCAGGACCAAATGAAACCAAATTAATGCCCAAACCTTCTAATTCTGGACGAATTGAGCAATCCCAAAATTCCACTAAAGACATACCTAAAGATAAAAAATTAAAAAAACCTATAACATTAAAAGATAGAAGTAGTTTTGTCAGTCTTAATGAATCATCTCTGAACAACAGCAGTAATTTTTCTGACAGTTTTTATATATTGATTGATAATAAAACAGAATTTAATAATAGTATAAATATTTCAAAAATAATATATTTTGATCCTGCTAATATTTCAAGTCAAAGTAGTGAAAAAACATCTAATAGTAACATTATTGGACAAGATGAATATTTTTCAAATATGAAAAGTGATGAAGAAGAAGAAAAAGAAGAAGAAAAAGAAGAAGATGGAATTATCTCCAATGAAATTGATCAAAACAAAATTAAATCAAAAGAAACACCAATTTATAACCATACTTTGAGTTCTGACAATGATCAACCTCTAACACAAAAAAGTTCAGCTATTCATAATGAAAATAAATCTATAAACCATTATGATCTTTCACTTGACAATCAAAGTAAAGAATACTCTTTCAAAAATGAATCTGATGGTGATCCAATAGAAGAAGTTGAACATGATTTTGATGAAATAGATTTAGTTAAGAAGTCTGACCCATCTAAAAGTATGCAAGCATTACACGATGATTCTGATGATACCCCCTCTGTTATTGATGACAGCAGTGAAGATGTTTATGCTAAAAAATTACACGATTATTTATATAATAACCAGTATAAGGTATTACTAAATACAAGACTTATTTTAATTAATTTTAATTGACAATTATCAAGTAAATATGAAATATAGGTTTTATGTTTGTATAAGATATATATAGTTTTGATTTTTATTATTTTGTTCTTGCAGATGAAACATCTTTGTTCTTGTTTCTGTGTGTTAATTACTCACCTTTGTTGTAACACTTTTGTTTTTGTTGTTTGGTGTTAATCTTATTTTTGATGTCAATCATATGTTATTACTCGTCTTTGCTACATCATTTTTTTTTGCTTGTTTTGTAACATGCTTTTTGCTTCTTTGATGTTAATCTTATGTTTAATGTCAATTTGTAATACTCACCTTTGTTTTAACGTTGCAATGTTGTTATTAATTTTACTACAAGATTTATTTGTTTTTTTAGATTTTAATTTTTTTTCAGATTTTTTTAATTCTTATAAATGTTATATATTTACATTAGGAGTATGAAGATAAATCCTCGGATGATCACAGTCAAGTTAATGAATACCTAAATGGAGATACTGATAACTTAGACAATATTGCACAAATTGTTTCAATGTATAAAAGTAAATTGAAACATGAAAGTGCAACCAAATTTTTGGAGATAAAAAAAAAGAAAAAACCGAGAAGTAAAAATAAAAAGTTGTATTTAGTCAAAAATAAAAAACTACAAGTTGTTATGGAAATTCGACCAGATAGCAAAAGCAACAAAATATCCGTTGAAACTCAAGGCATAGATAATTTGTTTCACCCATTTATTGACAACAAGTTTTCAATCAACAGAAAAAAGTTGCTCAGTAACTTTTCTGGTGATCAATTAGACAGCCATAATTTTATAATGAGAAAGTATCCAGCAATAGCTCCTTATAAAAAAGTTAGTACCAGTATATTAAAATCTAACAATGAAAAAAATAATCATAATGAATTTTACAGCAATTTCGCTAATTCGAAAAAAAAGATTTTGCTTGATGTTTTAAAGCATCTCAATCGAAAAAGGCATCAAAAAGAATATCAAAATTCTAAAGAAAAACTTCTTAAGTCTAGTCTTCACAGATGGAACAGAAAACTTTTTAACAAACCAAAAATAAGGCAAGATCTTCAATCAAAACTAAGTTTTTTAAAAAAGTTTAATCTTTTTGCAAAAGAACTAAATAAAGGTAAATTTACAAAACACTGGAAGGATAAAGCTGATATAGATGGAGGTGTTGAAAATATAGTCACAAGTCAGTTTAATAGTTTAAAAAAGAACGATTTTGAAAAATTCTCTGATCAAGACACACAAAAAAAGAATAAGTTAAATCAAACATATGTTGATGTAACAACTGACAGCGACCCATTAGAGATATTTCAAGGAAGCAAGTTTGAGGGTAGCCATTTATTGAGCAATGCACAGAAAAAAAATGTTCAAGTTCGATTGATCAATAGCTCAAGCACTCTTTATCCTGTTATTGATGATTCTGTAAGAAATGAAGTTTCGAGTGCTTTAACTGAAGTTACTAAATCTAAAAAAAAAAAAAATTTCAATGATTACATTCATGATAAGTTTCATGAAACCACAACATCAGATAGTTATAAAATGTTCTCTAGCATACCCAATGCTTATGACTTAAATAATAAGGCGTTAAGGAATCAGCATCCAATTATTTACAATGACTCAATAGTGGAATTTTTTAAAAGAAACTCAATTCCCATTAACAATCACTCTCTAGATCCTGATGATGTTATTAGCATATTCAAGCTCGCAGAACTTGAAGATCAATTAGAACCATTACCATGGTTACATGGGACAAACAATACAAAGTTCTTAAATAAGTTTTTTAAAGTGAAGTTAAAAGACAAAAAAGTAAAAAAAATGGCTGCTTATACAAAGCACAAGAAAATCAACAGAGCTCATAATTTTTCTTCTCATTATTTAAGCAGCAAAAAAAACTTAACACTTGAGTACATAAATTCTTCAACTCACCTCATTTCACCTATAAAAGAAGCAATCAAGAAATATCTGTCCCAGCACTCACAGAGTGAAGTCATGACAAACAAGAAAACTAGTTTAGACACAGAAACTAGAAAAATCAAGGATTCTCAACGAGCTAATGAAACCATAAATAAAAGTAAACAGCAGTTTTTGGAAGAGTTTGCAGAGAAGAATTTGAAAGGAATAGATGAAAAAATTCTTCAGTTGAAAAATAATCTAGAAACTGTTGCATATGAAGATGCTGAACAAAGATTAACATTCAAAGATATCGAAAGGTTGAAGGGAATCACTGACAAGATAAATGAATTTAAAATGAGCTTAAATAATGACTTAGCAGCTAACACAACATTGTCTAATAAAACAGCATTTAAAAAGGAAAGTGCAAATGAAATTTTATCTTCTGGAAATAAGTTTTCATGGAATAATACATGGTCAAATAACAGTAATAATTTTTTAGATAGGTCTGAATCTCCTCGCTCTCTTTTTTTGAAGAAAAAGAAAAATTATTTTTCATTTAAAAAAAAAAAAATTAATAATAATAAACCAAGTTTGCTAAAGAAGAAAAAAAATCATGTTAAATTACAGGGAGCTGAAAGCAAAAAGTTTCAAAACAAAAACCATAAAAACTATGATAATCACAAAAACCTCACAAAGACCACAGTTTACAATTATGATAAAAAATTTCGAATGCAAGATCTGAAGAATATAACAATTGTCGAAGGTATTTTCATTTAATAATATTGAGTTATTGTAAACTTTTTTTTTTTTTTTCAAGATTTAATTTCAGGGAAAGGTAGTAAAGCAATATGTTTTGGGCAGTGAGTATAGCTAGGTGCAGTGGGGTGCAGTTGCAAGTAATATAGTATCATGTAGCTAGCAACAAAAACAACTTATATTAATTTAAACTGTTGTATATTAAACTTATCAACATTTAAACTGTTGTATATTAAACTTATCAGCATTTAAACTGTTGTATATTAAACTTATCAACATTTAAACTGTTGTATATTAAACTTATCAACATTTAAACTGTTGTATATTAAACTTATCAGCATTTAAACTGTTGTATATTAAACTTATCAACATTTAAACTGTTGTATATTAAACTTATCAGCATTTAAACTGTTGTATATTAAGCTTATCAGCATTTAAACTGTTGTATATTAAACTTATCAACATTTAAACTGTTGTATATTAAACTTATCAACATTTAAACTGTTGTATATTAAACTTATCAGCATTTAAACTGTTGTATATTAAACTTATCAACATTTAAACTGTTGTATATTAAACTTATCAACATTTAAACTGTTGTATATTAAACTTATCAACATTTAAACTGTTGTATATTAAACTTATCAACATTTAAACTATTGTATATTAAACTTATCAGCACTTAAACTGTTGTATATTAAACTTATCAACATTTAAACTGTTGTATATTAAACTTATCAACATTTAAACTGTTGTATATTAAACTTATCAACATTTAAACTGTTGTATATTAAACTTATCAACATTTAAACTGTTGTATATTAAACTTATCAACATTTAAACTGTTGTATATTAAACTTATCAGCATTTAAACTGTTGTATATTAAACTTTTCAACATTTAAACCGTTGTATATTTAACTTTTCAACATTTAAACTGTTGTATATTAAACTTATTAACATTTAAACTGTTGTATATTAAACTTATCAACATTTAAACTGTTGTATATTAAACTTATCAACATTTAAACTGTTGTATATTAAACTTATCACCATTTAAACTGTTGTATATTAAACTTATCAACATTTAAACATATATTAGTTTAGATGCTTTAGCGTATGAATCCCTTAATTTTAAAAAGTTTTAAAAATTGTGTAAAATTAGATAAAACTATTCTATAATTAAAGGTCAAGTGTTTGATTGTATTGGTATTAATTATTTGTTAAAAACTCCATCAGCAACATTCCAACAACATGATCTCATATACCTTCTTCTGTTCTTTTCTTTTTTTCATCTTATCCTTGTTTCTTATAAACTTTTGCCTATTTTTTGCAAATTTGGATAAGCTAGCTGCATTAAGGTTATCTTCAAATTCAACATCTTTGTGATGATTATTTTCCTGATTCATTAAATATCGGTTTCTTCAGGTGTAGCAATACAATCGCTAAGCCTCAATCATCTGCACGTTTAAGAACCATGTCCAGAGTAACCAATACCACTTTTTCAGACGGGTTGAAAAGCTGTAGTTCTTTGTATTCTGGTTAAACAAGTCAACTCCACCAATTGTCTTGTCAATCACCGTACGGGGACATGAAAGCTTTATGTATGCCTTATCCTTGCCATTGTACCTCTCGCAAATACCTGATAAATAAAAACATTAGAGCGTTTATAAATTAGAGATTTAAAATTATAAATAATTTTTTAATCATAAATAGTTTTTTATTAAAAGTTTGAAATTTAAACTTTTATTAAAAAAATACCTGCAGGGTTAGGACCAGTATAATTACTCGCAAAAACTACAGATTTGCTATCCATCCAGATGGTTTCACAATTATTATTACCATAAATCGATTTCATACTACCTCTGGTCATTTCCTTTTTAGACTGCTTCTTAGTAGGTATCGGTACACCTACAAGCCTGTTCTGCCAGACATTACCTGAGGTAAAATGTATTTTTCAGATTAGGCCAAATAAAAAAATAAAAATTTCACAACATACCAAATAAGCTATCAAAAAACTAACCTACAACGCCCCAACCATGTTCTCCCATATGCTCCAACCATGTTCTCCCGTATGCCCCAACCATGTTCTCCCATATGATCAAAAAGATTAAAAGATGTAAATTTCAATAACATCATTCTCATCCTGATTTTCTAACAAAGCTGATATCTCATTTAGAGTCAGACCAATTTGTCTAGAAAATAAAGTTCTGAATTTTTTAACTTTATTTTCTCTAGAAAAATTAATAAAGTTATTGTTATTAATTTAAAACATAAATTTGAAATGTTTTGTGCAAGTTGCTTATTTATTAAGATGGAATCCAGATAATGCCAACACGTCCTTAAAAGAACATGTAATGTTTATGCAGTTATATTCAGTACAAAATCAAAAAATATAAATCAACTTATTACTTACAAATATAGTTTTGTGTTTTATTTCTATAAAACAATAATAAAAACAACAACAAGTTACCTTTTAGAATGGGTTCTTTGAGGAGCTTTTTGCCACTCTACATGTTTTTTTTGTGTTAACTTTGAGCAGTTTCTTCTGAAAAGCTATTAAAGGCAATCGGTTGCTGTTAACTAAGAAGTAAGAGGCAAGAAGTGCGTCAAACCGTTTTGCAAAGTTGCAAAGTGGACTTATTCTTTAAGAAATATTTCAAATACACTAGTTTAAGGTGGACATAGTTTTAAGTCCTTTTAAGGACGTCTGGCACTTACTGGTTAATCTTTCAATTTTTCAATATTCAACAGTCAAGATATATTACTTGTGTTTAAAGATATTTTTATCAATTTAGTTTGTCATGGCTAAAAGGCCTCTAATATCTCGGAGGCCATTTTTTGTTTTTTCCTTCATATTTCTTTTTTTTTTGGGAGATAAATTAATGGAGTTTTTTGAAGTTGATATTGAGATGGTAATTTTTTGGAGATAAATTGATATTTTTTTTTGGAGATAGAAAGATATTTGCAGTGTAACAACCACATTAAACTTTTTAATGCTAAATATATTTTTCAAGACTCAGCAGTTTTAATCATTGTTTACAACTTCATTACTATTAAGGTGAAGTATGACAGACACTTTTCATCTTAACTATAAAAAGAACTTCAGCTTAACAAGGAAATCATAATAACTCAGAATAATTATTATAGAAAATAAGTTTATCACAAATATAAAAATATAAATAACTCAGAAATCATAAATTAAAAATTAATTGAAACTATTTTGACTCTATATGGTTGTTTTTACATTATTTTTATATTTGTGATAAACTTATTTTCTATATTAATTATGTTAATTTTTTCTCAATCAAGTTATAATGTTAACAACTAATTTCTTTCAGGAGTTTCATTATATACCACTGTGCTTCAGTCAGACTTTTGTCGTGATGGCGATGAACTTTGTTTACTTATTAAAAGAAATGTTATTAGCAATGCACCATTATATTTGAAAGGAGTTTTTGTGTCAGGTGAAATCGAGTTAACTGCACCTGTTCCTGTGACAAGTCAGTTTACAAAGACAGTTAGTTTATGTTTTTATTTTATTTATTTATATATTGATGTTGTATATTTTTTTAACGTTTTTAAGATGAAATGTTGCACAAGACCACTCTACAGAGGAATGAGCAAAATGTGCTTGCACCATCCATTCCACCAGCTTAAATAATAATTCCACTATCAATACTACTGATATTGTTTTTAAATAACGACATTAGTAATAAGCAATTGTTAATAAACATTTTTTTTTTAATATATAAAATACATGTTTATATTTTAAGGCAATTTAAAAAGAAGAAAGAAAGTCATTTTTTAAAATGTGCAATAGATTCTGAACTTTCAGAATTGAAAAAGTATTGTTTTCACAACATGATTTTAAAAGATTCAATATAGTTCACAATACTAATTTGCAGAAATTTGACCTACAAGTTGAAATTTTTTTTTTACTTTTTTTGCATAAGTAAGTTAAGCGATAATTTTTGTCCTAAGTTTGCCATTTTTTTATTAGACTCAAAAGTAGTATTCAAAAGTATCCTTTTATTAGACTCAAAACACGACTTATTCTTATATTGTAAGTAACACGCCTTATTATTACATTGTAATAATACAATTGCATAATCAACATAATCTCTTATATTAAGTCCTAACGTCATATGTTAATTTTGCATCTTGCACTTTTACTTGGCAAGAAGTCCATATGTTGCCAACTTCTTGCTCATTATAATAATTTTTAAATAATTAAGTATGGATATTTATATATTAAACATTATATATTAAATATTACATATTAAATATTATATATTAAATATTATATATTAAATATTATATATAATATCATGTTAGGTGTGTGGTGTATACATACACCTTACACCATAATAGAGATATGTTTTGTTTGTATAAATAGTTTCATTTTAATTTTACAAAAAAGCATATTTAGTTTTTTTGAACCATGCAGTGAATTTTTTAAAAAATACCACTGTAAAAATTTATGTAAAAGAGTTTGCATTGCATATTTAAAGTCTATGACATTGAGACTTAACATATGACATTTAGACTTAACATAAAAGATTATGTTTATTATGCAAATGTTATATTGCAATATAAATATATAAGATAAATTTTTTTTTTTATTGAGTTATTATTTAAGCATGTTTTGCTCATTCCTCTGTGGAGTGGTCTTGTGTGTTGTTGGTGCTTTAAGTTTTGAGTATTTTGAGATTAGTAAAAAAACTATTTTTTACAAATTTTTTCTCGAGGAAAGTTTGATTTAACACTTTCTCAAGATTTGTTTAAATCAAACTTCCTCAAGATTTTAAACTTTCCTCAAAAAAAAAAAAAAAAGCTTTTGATCCAACATTGCAACATTTTTTGCAATGTTGCTGAAACTTGATTCAGCAAGTTTATATTATTGTAATTGTGAATGATTGTTGGATCTCAATTATATGGAAAAATAGTGTTACATGTTAAGATTGGTGAGAGATCAGTGAACAAAATGTGAACTTGCAACATCTGTAAACAAAGTTTGCAAAAATTCACTTCCAGCTAGCCAATCCCTCCCCGATCTTATCTCTCCTTTTTCACAACCTGCGACTTGCAGTGGCTCATGAACTAACTCCAACAGAACTCAGTTATTTACTTCAAAAAATTATCACAATGTTGTTGATATTTCTATATTGATGAATGGGAATTCTCTTACTGAATCTTCTACATTATGTCTTCTCAGATTATCATCCACTACAGATATCTCATAGAAACCATATATACAATCCATTGCAAAATTAACATCTGCTAAAGTTTCTTCTCTTTATTGTGCTTACTATTTTCTTGCTTATATATACAAATACGTAAACCATATATACAATCGATTAAAAAATTAGCATTTACAAGGTTGCTTCTCTTTATCTTGTTCGCCATCAAGATAAAGAGAAGCATCATCATTCTCTACCTATACCATTCTCTTATTCATCCCTGTATGGAATACTGTTGTCATGTTTGGGCTGGTTCTTCTAAATATGTCCTTTCTCTTCTTGAAAAAATCCAAAAATGTATTGTAAATGTAGTAGAACAAGCTCTTTCTACCTTGAAACTTGAACTACTATTACATTGTTGCAAGGTTATCTCATTTCTACAAATTCTATAATGGTTGCTGCTCAAACAAGCTCTCATTTCTTGTTTCATCCAGGGGTGTGGAGTCATAAAAAAAAAAGTAACAACTCCGACTCCAGTTGTTGTCCAACTCTGACTCCAACTTCAAACCAAAATTTTTGAAAAATTCTTTAAATTCTTTAAAAAATATTACGCGATAAAATAATTTTTTTTTTTGGACAAATTTATGAAACGCTCTTTAATGTTTAGTATGAACATAAGGTTAACTGAATGTTTTGTACATGTACGTGCAATACCGAGAAGTTTTACTAATGGAGTCGGAGTCGCGATTTTGTTTGGCGACTCTGGCTCCGGCTCCGCTAAAAATGTCACAACTTCGCAACTCCGACTCTGACTCCATAGCCCTGGTTCCATCAACAAAAACTCGTTCTCATTTGACTCATCATTCAGCAAAGTTGCATTTTTTTTACTGTATTTGTCCTCTAAAAAATTTCATTTATCTTGTTTCTTTCCTTGCACATTAATTCTTTGTAACCCTTTACCATCTTCATGTTTTTCTGGCTTGTAGAATTTACAGTTTTTTGAAAACTTCAGTAAACTGTTTTCTTTCTCATTAACAATATTTTTTGTTCTCTTTGAGATCATACATCTCTACCTGCTCAAGAAAAAAAAACTAAGCACAAACTAGGGTTAGTGACAAGAAATTGAATGTTTTTTAATGGTTTAATCTTTTAAGTGGCGTACCCCCAGAACTTTATTTTATTTATTTTTATTTGATAGAATAAAATAAATTATTTAAAATAGAATAAAAGAACACTAGTTATTCATTTGTAACAAATTTTTTTATCAAACGTTTTAACTTAAGAATTTTATAAAATTTTTCTTAAAGAATATAAAAAAAACTTTTGAAAAATAATAAAATACTTATATTTGTTGCAAAGTGGCTTTTCTCTAAGCAGGCTTTTGATTGCAGCTTCTAAAAGTGGCTTACCAATCAATAAGCTTCTAAAGGTGGCTCACCAATCAGTAAGCTTTTCTTTAAAACACCTAGTTATGGTTTACTAATCAATGTGCTTCTACATGAGGCTTAAAGAGTGATCTACCACTCAGTTAACTTCTGCACGCTGCAGCTAATAGTGACTAACCACTCATCAAACTTCTGCTTATACCTGTTTGAAGTGGTCAACCTTTGGCCACCTGATAAGTATTTAAATATTGTTTTAATATATGTACAATATCATATTATATGTTAGTATTATCTTTGCTTACCATATCTAGAATTATTTCCAATATGCTATTTGAATGTACAAATTTTAATATGGTTGCATTTTCTAGCTTTTAGCATTTATGTACCAGTTGTGCAGTTTTCTTTATAATTGGGATTTTAGCTTTTTTGCTTTTACATATGTGTTGTGGCTTTCTCTGGGTACTGTATATTTATCATATACAGCACCTGATTAAAAGTGGCCAGTATCTTTTCTGCTTTTATCATTGCATGATAATTTATATTATTAATAATTGTAATGATTTTTAACAGTTAATAGTGAGCTTAGTCAGAATTTCTGTTTGTATGTTCAAATGTTTATTACTTTTAATATATTCAAAAAAAAAAGTTTAAAAAAATCAATGTATTTCTGCTTTTTTCTAAAATTTGTAACTGCTACCACCAGTTTAATAACAAAACTATAATGTAATAATAAGAATGATTAAAAAAAATGTTTAAACAAATAATCAAAATATTGTTTAAAATTACATTAAAATAAAAATTGTTTTACAATGACAGTCAACTGTTATGTTACAGATAACAGAATTAAAGAAAGATTTTAACAGATAATAGAATTAAAGAGAAATTATAATAAAAAATTAATAATAATATAGTAGTTTAATAATAATAAATAAAGGTTGTCTTTGTAACATATATTTTTGAAAATACTTGCCATAGTTGCTATTGTTTTTTAAATTTTAAAAATTTTTTATAATAGTGGAGCATCGAATTTTTACAGTTAGTAATGCAAATCAAAAAATCATCTTCTTATGTTTTTGTAAGAGCCGAGCTTGTGTTCAGAGATGAAAATTTGAGGTTTAACGGTAATTTTTTTGTTACATTTATAAACTAATATTTAGAAATAGTTATAGTAATTTATATAAAGTACTGGTCAAAATTATAGCACAACCTATTAAATTATGATTTTCATGATAAATTTTTGTAGACATTAATCATATTGTTGAGAGGCATTAATCATATTGTTGTATTTTTGAAATGTGTTTACACTAATCATTTAAAATGTGCACATAAAATTAAAAATTTTGTTCATTATTCATCTAAGAAATGAACAATTTTACAAACATATGCAAAAAATGCATTGACGCATTGTTATGTATGATATTTTATTTATCTACTAGCATCATAGCTAATTATTTAAAATAGCAAAATTTCTCATAGTTTTTTCAGTAATTTTAAAATGAAAACAAAATTTATGCAATAGGTCACACAGCAGTGAGCTTTGAGTGACGAAAACTTGTAAAAAACTTAATTCAACAGCAATTTAATATTGTTGATATTGTTGAACGTGCTAAAACATCTAGAAAATTTGTCTATAACATTGCTGATAAAATTAAATTGAGTTTACCAATGAAAAATAGACCAGGTCAAGGATGTTGTAGGTGCACTATTTCTACAGAAGACCGCTATATAGTGACGCTTGCTAAAAAAATCGCACTAATTCAAGTAGAAAAATTGCTTTGGAGTTGCTATGGAGATTAAAACTGCAAAAGAAAAGACCATTAGTGCAAGAACAGTTCATTGTTGTTTGTTAAAAAAAAGGTTGAAAAGTTACACACAGAAATTGTTATTATTGTTATTAAAATAAGGCTCAGAAAAAGACTCACTTAGTGTAAAAACTATGTTGATCAGACTCGGAATCAATGGTATTATGTGGTATTTCTATCAATGGCATCATGTGGTATTTCTATCAATGGCATCATGTGGTATTTAGGAAAGAATCACATTTTGAAGTCATAAATAGAAAGTATCGTAAGTTTGTATGTCGTTTTCCTAATGAAAAAGATTTACTATTTAATTTTACAAAAAGAGCACAAGATGGTGGTATTTCTATATGGGGATGTGTTTCTGAACATAGAATAGGTTTATTGAAATTTTACAGGTTTTAAAGGTCGTTTTTATGCTTCTTGTTATTTAGAAGTTATTGCTGAATTTCTTGACTATATGGACACTCTTTTTCATTCTGAAGCTGAAGATTGTTATATTATGCAAGACAATGCACCGTTTCACAAAACAAAAAAAAACTCTGGAATGGTTTGCAACAAAAAAATATTTCTCTAACAATGCTTTGCAACAAAGTTTGCAACAACTCTGGAATGGTTTGCAACAAAGAAAATTGGCTCCTAGAATGGTCAACCACTTCACTAGATGGAAGTTCGATTCAAAATCTTTGGTCAATTATTGACCAAAAACTCAAATATTACAGCATAAGTATCACAAATGACCTAAAGGATGCAAATTAAATATATTGCCATTTTAAAAAAATGGCAATATATTTAATTCTAGACCGATACAACTTAATTTTTTACAACTTTTACTTTCATCCACTTCATAAATTTTGACAGATTGTATTAACTAGGTTGTTTTAGGAAGAAAATAAAAAAAATTGGAACTTTTTTTAATTTCAAAAAGAATATATGATTTATTTGTATCAAAAAAAAAAAAAAAAAAAATCAAAATTGCTTTTTTATAAACTGTTATGATAAAATTCTCAGAAAAAGCTTGAGCATTAGTTATTCAATCCATTTTTTTCATAGATATCTGAATTAACAAAATATATGCTAAATCAAGCAAAAACCCATGAAGAGAACAGGAAGACAGTTTGCTTCTTGTGTCTTGGCAAGGCTAGTTGCTTTTTAACCAGCTTCATGACAGAAAAAATGCAACAAATTTTGAAGCAGCTAATTGATTTTAATGATCCAAAAGTCCCAACTGGCATTTGTGAGCATTGTTGCTCCAACCAACTGAATCTCTTGTAACCTCTTGTTACAAGAGATTCAGTTGGTGATTATTTGATTTGCTCAGTTGGCAAAGCAAGACACAATTCTCCACATCCAGTCTTGGCAACCCAGAAACCTAAAGCAAACCAGAACTCAGTTGAAAGAAGATGTTCTCAATGCTTTTCAATAGTTAGCAAGGGTCTTTCACGCAGTTGCTTAAAGTCCACTTTGCAAAAGAATTTAGCAGAAGTTGTGTCAAAGGAATCTATTGCAGCTGAAAGAGTTGCAGCATCAGCCATTGCCAACAAGAAAGCTTCACCCCATGGAACAGTTTGTCTTAGTAGACCAGAGGGAATAGAAAGCCACTCTATTCCAGTTCTTCCAGGTAACATTGTATTAGATATTTAAAGTTTTAGCTTCATATTTTAAGTCTATGTAATGCATAATAATGTAAAATCTTTCTTAATTATTTCAAAGGTTCATCTTTAAAAGCAAGAAGACTTTTCAATAAAGAACCAGAACTGACAGCAAAAGATCTTGTTTATGTGCAACACAACACAGAGTTGTCCAACTCTGGCGTGAAAAAGATGGTGTCAACACTAAATCAAGTTGTTTCAAGTCAGATTGTAGAAAAGAATTTCCTCTTTAAGTTTGATCAGTTGAGTAAAAAACTTGAAAGTCATTATACCAAAACTTGGAACAAAGTTGCAACTGACAAGGACAACAATCAGGTGGATAAACTTGTTATTCACTGCAAAGACTTGAAAGCTCTTTGTCAGCAAGTTCTTGAAACTAAAAACCTCTCTGATGATTACATTATGAAGCTGGGAATGGATGGTGGTGGTGGTTTTCTAAAAGTATGCTTTGGAAACATGGAAAAAGTTTCAGTTTTACAATCACCGCCATCAAAACGGCTTCTCACCAATTCTCTGGCCAAAGATTCTGGTGTTAAGCATCAGTTACTGATTGCCATTTCTGAAGATCTCCAATAAAGCTATAACAATGTCAAGCAGGTTTTTGATTTGCTGAACATTGAAAAACCTTCCTTTATTTTGTCCTGTGATATGAAGCTGGCAAACATCATTTGTTGTTTACAAGCACATTCTAGTCCACAATAATGTTCTTGGTGTGACATTTCATCAAAAGATCTTGCTAAGTGTGGATCTCTAAGAACTTTTGGATCAATTAGAAGAGATTATCAGGCATTCAATGTGGCTGGTGCTAACATCAAAAAAGTAAGTTTATTTAGAAACTCTGTTTATGAACCCATCATCAATGCCTCAGATGAATCTTTTGTTCTTGATGTTCTTCCACTCATGGAGCTTCATCTGTTGCTTGGTGTTGTAAATCATCATCTACAGTCTCTCTCAAAGATTTAGACACATGCTCCTGAATGGCTGGCATTACTTCATATTCAACAGAAGCCATTTCATGGTGGACAACTGGCTGGAAATGAGTGCAGGAAGCTTTTGAAGAATATGGATGTTTTGGAGAGATAGACCCAGTAGCACTCCTTTCCAGCTGTTCCCTTTATTGACACACTAAGAAAATTCAATGCTTTTGTCCATATTTGTTTTGGCAATGCTCTTGATATATATATATATATATATATATATATATATATATATATATATATATATATATATATATATATATATATATATATATATGTATATATATATATATATATATATATGTATATATATATATATATATATATATATAATATATATATATATATATATATATATATATATATATTATATAATAGTGCTCAAAAATTTAGCACGTAGCAGAATCAATGAAATTATTTTTCATTTTTATATATATATATATATATATATATATATATATATATATATATATATATATATATATATATATATGTATATATATATATATATATATATATATATATATATATATATATATATATATATATATATATGTATATATATATATATATATATATATATATATATATATATATATATATATATATATATATATATATATATATGTATATATATATATATGTATATATACATATATATATGTATATATATATATATATATATATATATATATATATATATATATATATATATATATATATATATTATATAATAGTGCTCAAAAGTTTAGCACGTAGCAGAATCAATGAAATTATTTTTCATTTTTATATATATATATATATATATATACTATATATATATATATATATATATATATATATATATATATATATATATATATATATATATATATACATATATATATATATATATACATATATATATTATATATATATATATATATATATATATATATATATATATATATATATATATATATATATACATATATATATGTATATATACATATATATATGTATATATATATATATATATATATATATATATATATATATATATATATATATATATATATAGTATATATATACATATAATAGTGCTCAAAAGTTTAGCACGTAGCAGAATCAATGAAATTATTTTTCTTTAGAACATAAAAAAACAGAAAAAAAAAGGTAAAAAAACTTTAATTTCAAGCAAAAATTTTTTTTAGATTATTTAAAACATATTAAGAGAAAAATAATATAAAAACGATGAAAAATATATATTAAATTTTTTGAAAGAAACATAGTAATCATATACAAAATAAGAAAAAAAAAATACTTATAAGTTTAGCATGCTTGGATTTGAAGTTGCTTTTAGGTCGAACCTTAATAAGGAATGTGACCACCTCTATTTTTTATGCATAATGAAAATTGATTAGAATTGAAAAGTTTACGATAATATTTAACTGCCAAGTCATTAAACAACTTTTTAAAATTTTTTTTCACATTTTCAGCTGACACAATCCAATTTGATTTAGATCAGGTGATCTAGCTGGCCACTAAAGTAACTTGATATTGTTTTGCTCAAACCATTCTGTTACAGATTTTGCTTTATAGCATGGAGCATTGTCTTGTTGAAATATCCACTCTGGCTCGTTACCAAAAAAAATGTCCTTGGTAGGCATTAAGTAGTTTTCAATGATGTCAATGTATCTATGTTGGTCCATTCGACCACTGTATAACGTGTGTAGACCTGGGCCATCATATGTGATGCAGCCCCAAATACCAACTGCGCCACCTCCACCTTGTAGTATAGGTACAATACAGCAACTATAATACTTTTCATTGTGGTGCCTACGGACAAGTACTTTGTTTTTATGATTTAGGATAGTGTAGTTAGATTCATCACTAAAAACAATTTTTCTTAATTTATAATTACTCATTTTTAAAATCGCTTTGCAAAATTTAACTCGTTTTAAACGGTCTGTTGGTTTTAATTATGGTTTTCCAGCAGCAACATAGCACCACAGCACTTACGGTATATTAGTCTTCTAATAACTGTTTGCCTTGATACCAGGTTAACCAAGTACCAGGTTAATTTCTGGCAATTCTATAAAAAGAATTATCATCAGTGTTATTTGTTTTTCTTTAATTAAACTTAGCAATAGTTCTACTTACACATAATGGTAAAACACACTTTAAAATTCAAGATATTTTAATGTTAGAGTGAACTCCCGTATTAAGACCAATAATATGCTGTTTGATTTCTTGACTTATAGTTTTTCTTCCCATGGGAAATTTCAAATTTCTATTATTATTATAATCTAAAACTAAGCAAAAAGATGGATAAATTTAAAACAAACTTTTAAAATACTAAATATTACTTTAAATATATTTTTGTAATATTTCATTAAAAAAAAAAGAGTTTAATTTTTATTATGATGCAACTTTTATCGCAATAAATTTATAAAAAATCTCCTTAAAAGCTTCAAGAAGAGCGAGCTAAACTTATGAGCAGCTTTTTTTTAAAGCTTAAAATACCTCTTAATGTATGTACTTAAAAAAATGGATGTCTTAGCAAACTTTTTTTACCATTAATCTGGTTATGTCTTGTTAATTGATAAATAGAAAACTTTTTTTTAAAGCTTTAATAACTGAAAAATTAACATATATGGAAAAAACTAAATTTAATTCTGCTGCGTGCTAAACCTTTGAGCAGTGTTGTATACATATATATATATATATATATATATATATATATATATATATATATATATATATATATATATATATATATATATAATATATATATATATATATATATATATACATATATATATATATATATATATATTTATATACATATATATACATATATACATATATACATATATATATATACATGTATACATATATACATATATACATATATACATATATACATATATACATATATACATATATATATATATATATATATATATATATATATATATATATATATATATATATATACATTACATACATACATACATACATACATACATACATACATACATACATATATATATATATATATATATATATATATATATATATATATATATATATATATATATATATATATATATATATTAATTTATATGTATATATATATGTATATTTATATCCAAGTTTGAGCCTTGCCACAATCCTCATTTTAGTGGGGTTTGATTCCCACCAAAGGCAGTCTTCTCGACTGCAGTGGCTTTTTCAGCTTTGGGGAGGTAAATAATTAAAATATATATATATACATATATATATATATATATATATATATATATATATATATATATATATATATATATATATATATATATATATATATATATATATATATATATATATATATATAGTATATATATATATATATATATATATATATATATATATATATATATATATATATATATATATATATATATATATATATATATATATATATATGTAATGGTTTTTTCTTCTTGATTTAAATTAAAAAAAAAAGAGTTTAATTTTTATTATGATGCAACTTTTATCGCAATAAATTTATAAAAAATCTCCTTAAAAGCTTCAAGAAGAGCGAGCTAAACTTATGAGCAGCTTTTTTTTAAAGCTTAAAATACCTCTTAATGTATGTACTTAAAAAAATGGATGTCTTAGCAAACTTTTTTTACCATTAATCTGGTTATGTCTTGTTAATTGATAAATAGAAAACTTTTTTTTAAAGCTTTAATAACTGAAAAATTAACATATATGGAAAAAACTAAATTTAATTCTGCTGCGTGCTAAACCTTTGAGCAGTGTTGTATACATATATATATATATATATATATATATATATATATATATATATATATATATATATATATATATATATATATATATATATATATATATATATATATATATATATACATATATATATATATATATATATATTTATATACATATATATACATATATACATATATACATATATATATATACATGTATACATATATACATATATACATATATACATATATACATATATACATATATACATATATATATATATATATATATATATATATATATATATATATATATATATATATATACATATACATACATACATACATACATACATACATACATACATACATACATACATATATATATATATATATATATATATATATATATATATATATATATATATATATATATATATATATATATATATATATTAATTTATATGTATATATATATGTATATTTATATCCAAGTTTGAGCCTTGCCACAATCCTCATTTTAGTGGGGTTTGATTCCCACCAAAGGCAGTCTTCTCGACTGCAGTGGCTTTTTCAGCTTTGGGGAGGTAAATAATTAAAATATATATATATACATATATATATATATATATATATATATATATATATATATATATATATATATATATATATATATATATATATATATATATATATATATATATATATATATATATATGTATATATATATATATATATATATATATATATATATATATATATATATATATATATATATATATATATATATATATATATATATATATATATGTAATGGTTTTTTCTTCTTGATTTAAATTAAAAAAAAAAGAGTTTAATTTTTATTATGATGCAACTTTTATCGCAATAAATTTATAAAAAATCTCCTTAAAAGCTTCAAGAAGAGCGAGCTAAACTTATGAGCAGCTTTTTTTAAAGCTTAAAATACCTCTTAATGTATGTACTTAAAAAAATGGATGTCTTAGCAAACTTTTTTTACCATTAATCTGGTTATGTCTTGTTAATTGATAAATAGAAAACTTTTTTTTAAAGCTTTAATAACTGAAAAATTAACATATATGGAAAAAACTAAATTTAATTCTGCTGCGTGCTAAACCTTTGAGCAGTGTTGTATACATATATATATATATATATATATATATATATATATATATATATATATATATATATATATATATATATATATATATATATATATATATATATATATATATATATATATATATATATATATATATATATATATATATATATTTATATACATATATATACATATATACATATATACATATATATATATATACATGTATACATATATACATATATACATATATACATATATACATATATACATATATACATATATACATATATATATATATATATATATATATATATATATATATATATATATATATATATATATATATACATATACATACATACATACATACATACATACATACATACATACATACATACATACATACATACATATATATATATATATATATATATATATATATATATATATATATATATATATATATATATATATATATATTAATTTATATGTATATATATATGTATATTTATATCCAAGTTTGAGCCTTGCCACAATCCTCATTTTAGTGGGGTTTGATTCCCACCAAAGGCAGTCTTCTCGACTGCAGTGGCTTTTTCAGCTTTGGGGAGGTAAATAATTAAAATATATATATATATACATATATATATATATATATATATATATATATATATATATATATATATATATATATATATACATATATATATATATATATATATATATATATATATATATATATATATATATATATATATATATATATATATATATATATATATATATATATATATATGTATATATATATATATATATATATATATATATATATATATATATATATATATATATATATATATATATATATATATATATATATATATATATATATATATATATGTAATGGTTTTTTCTTCTTGATTTAAATATATGGCTGATGAGTGCCAAAAATGGCATGAAACTTTAAGTACCATCAAAATGTGTTTTTTTATACTTTAATATGCATAAATCTTTACTGATGATTTTATAGTGAACTATGTATAAGTTGAGTCTTCAGTGCACATATTGGCTGATGGTTAGATTTTGAGCAGTTTTTACTTATGAAGGATATCTATTATGATCATATATATAACTATGAATGCGTGTCTGAAATCACACTGAAATAGCCTGCTGCCTGGGGCTTCAGTACATACATTGACTATCTTATAGCCTGCTGCCGCAAGGGAGTTCCGCTATATCAATCTTTTCTTTCATTCTCTGTGTTTTTTTTTTTCTAAAAATGCCATTTAATGTAGAAAAAATAGGGTAACAATTTGTATAATAGGGTAACAATTCCTAATTTGCATACTAATTTTTTATCAAGTGTACACAGAATGTATGTTATTTATATAACACCATTATAATGATTTTTTTTAAACTTTTTTTATACAGATTAATTTAACCCCTAGTAAAAATGAATAACATCAGACCAAAAATGAATAACATCAGACCAAAAATGAATAACATCAGACCAAAAATGAATAACATCAGACCAAAAAATTAATTCAATGAAAAATTTTTATATATTATTTACACATAAAATTAAGTTAACTTGTATTTTATTTGTAGGAAAAATAGCTTTAGGAGCAAATGGTCTTCAGCTATCTATGAGTATGAAGGACCAATGGAGACAACCATTTGGTGTTGATTATATTGTGATTAACAACCCAATATTTACCACTAGCTATAATGTTGATTCTCTCTCATATTTTGGTAACTTAATTTTTATCTTTTTTTTCTTCCATTTTTCATTCCAAATGAAAAAATTTCTGTATTTTTTAAAAAACAATTTTTCAGAAATGAAAGGGAATTTTTCATTGGGAATTATTGACTCCAAGAACGCTTTGAAAGGCGAGCTTCATATTGGTTACAATCCAAATGATCCCTCAGCAAATTATTTTTATGGTGAAATAAATACTCTAACTGTAAAAAATTTGTTAAATGCATTTAACAAAACAGTAATGCTTCCGCAGGTTATTGAAAGTTCTTACTTTCCACATGGCTTACTTGTTTCTTACAGCTCAAATCCTAATGGTAAGTTATTTAATCTTTATTTATTTAAGATAATGCTCTCTGTTACTTTTATACTATTACTTTGTGTTAGTTACCATCGTTACTATTCGGTAATATATTATAAATATTTAGTTAGTATTAATTACTATTGTTTGGTATTTCTTTACATTAAATATTTTTTAATAAAATTTTAAAATAAGTTTTTTAATCAAATTTGTTTTGATAACTTTAAAATAGTTTTAGCTATTAAATAATAACTGTAACAATAATTAAAATAAAATTAAAAATTAAACAATTATAATAAATAAATAAAATAAAATGTCTAATAAAATGAAAAATTTTCAAAAATTAAAATAGTTATGGTAAAAATTGAAAAATAAAAAAAATCTCAAAACTGTATTGAAAACAAACAAAAGTTATTTTATAATATTTGGAGTTTAACAAAATCTTAATTAAAAGAGTAGAAAATGAAAAAAATAGATTGATAATTTTATAATATTTGCTCATTATCTATTTGTTCAACGGCTATGGTCTTTTTTTTTCAATGGCTATGGTCTTTTTATAATAAAAATAAATGTTTTCATTATTTAATTTTTTTACGAGTTTCTAAATTTCGCTTGTAACTGTCTTTATTGTCATTTTAGTTTTAATAGCTTTCTTATTGTTATGTAGTATGTTTTCCTTTATTTCCATTTTTGTTATGTTGGCAACAATATTGTATTAAACAACAACAATATAATATTCAGATTATAGATTTAAAGAATTTGACAAATATTTAAAGAGAAATTATAAAAAAAAAATTGATAATGATATAATAGTTTTTTTTATATATAAATAAATGTTCTATTAGCAACTAATATTCTTGAATTGCATACAACCATAATTCTGAAAAATTTACAACAACAGTGCACAATAGAACTGAATGGAATGGAGCTAAAGTCCCCCAAAATTCTGAATGGAATGGAACTAAAGTCCTTAAAATTCTGAATGGAATGGAACTAAAGTCTTTAAAATTCTGAATGGAATGGAACTAAAGTCCTTAAAATTCTGAATGGAATGGAACAAAAGTCCTTAAAATTCTGAATGGAATGGAACTAAAGTCCTTAAAATTCTGAATGGAATGGAACTAAAGTCCTTAAAATTCTGAATGGAATGGAACTAAAGTCCTTAAAATTCTGAATGGAATGGAACTAAAGTCCTTAAAATTCTGAATGGAATGGAACTAAAGTCCTTAAAATTCTGAATGGAATGGAACTAAAGTCCTTAAAATTCTGAATGGAATGGAACTAAGGTCCTTAAAATTCTGAATGGAATGGAACAAAAGTCCTGTAGCAAATTCTTAATCTTAATAGTTTTCTTTTTAGTTTTAATTGATTGATATTTGCATAAGTACCTAAATTTCAAAAAAGTTTATACAATAAAATTTTATTACATCTTTATGCAAGTTACTCAGTTGGTAGTACCAACTTATTTTACTGGGATTTGTTGATACTTTTACTACATATTATTTTCTTTGAGCTCAAGAAGCATCCAAAAGTTACATATGTGCACACAATAGAAATGTCTATAAAATAGATTTTTTTGTGGTAGAAAGTAATGGTAAATGAGACATTTTTTTTTAAATGGTTTATTTTAAAAATTTATTTATTTAAAAAGTTATCTGTGTTTAAGGTTACAGAATAGTTGAGAGAAAGCTAAAGATTGACTATGGGTTCATGCTTTCTGGTTACATTAATTTTATTGGTTATAAAGTTTTTTGTGTTATCAAGATTACTACAGCCGAAATAACTATGACTATTTTAATGCCATCAATGGAATTTGGTGGTGGGTTTGTACAAATGCAAAGCAGTGAAGATGACTTGACCCATGGACCTACTATGGTACTACATATTGCAAAAGATGAAGTCTTAGTTCAAGCAGTTGGTGAAGCAAGTATGCTGGGAGTGCATGGACCATCATTGTTGTTAATTTCAAATGATACTTTTAAGCTAAAGATGAAGGCAAATTTTTATGATTTAATAGATGGAACTTTATTGCTTGAAGCAGGGACTGATGAAGGGCTATCATCTGCCAAGTTCAGGGTAATGTCTAAAATGTTGCTTATAAGTTTGTTCTTGTTGTTTTAATGTGTGTGTTTTTTTGTCTTTTAAATTCTTTATCTTGGATTAAAGTGTATTTAAATATTTTATGTGATTGGTTGTTTGAAGGAAGGTTTTAATATGATTGGTTGTTTGGAGGGAGGTTATGATATGTAAGAAGTGTAGGTGAGTAGGTTATATGGCGTAAAGGTAAATAGGCTATATGGTTATAGGATACAAAGTTAATATGGTGTAAAGCTGAGAATTTATAATTCCTAAAGCTGAGAACTTATAGGTACTATAAGGTAATTAAATTTCATTATCTTTAAATAAAGTGGAATTAAATGTTACTTGTAAGATGTTGTAAGGTATGTGAGTGGTAAGGTTGTAATTGTACAAGGAGAGAAGATGGTGTGATAGTTAGGGAGTTTAAATTTTTATGTTAAAATATTTTTTTAAGTTTTCTTTGCATATTTATAATTTTATACTTTTATTATAAAGCTTGATTCGTGTTTAAATATTAAAGAAGAAAAGTTGAAAGAAGCAATAATCAATAGAATAAATTCAATCATTGAAAATGGAAACTCAACTCTTCAAAGAGCTATTGGGAAGGTATATATTTTTAAAATAAATTGAGAATTCTAAAAATTGAAGTTCTTACTTTCTATAAAATAATTATAGTATCTATTAAAGTTAATATTGGTAAAAGAAAGAAAGTATAAATTGATATATATATATATATATATATATATATATATATATATATATATATATATATATATATATATATATATATATATATATATATATATATGTATATATATATACACACACACACACATCGATATATTTATAATTATATATATAATTATATATATATATACGCATCAATATATATAAATCGATATATAATATATATCGATTTATACATATAATATAATTATATGTATAGATCGATATATATATATATATATATATATATATATATTTTATTTTTTCTTTGTATTGTCTTCAGTTTTTAAATTTATTTACCAGAGTTTTAATTGTAAATTAAATCTTTTGAAAATGTAGTAAGACTACGAAACATGTCAAGAATAAAAAATATTGTGATTTTTATTAAAATTTATATATATATATATATATATATATATATATATATATATATATATATATATATATATATATATATATGTATATGTATATGTATATATATATAAATATATATATATATATATACATATATATATATATATATATATATATATATATATATATATATATATATATATATATATATATATATATATATATATATATATATATACATGTTTCTGTCTCACTCTATATCTCTGGTATCAAATGAGGAAAAAAGAAATTTGTTTTTGTGCCTACACTTTGAAAATATTTTGCTTCTTGTATTTATTAGGTTTTCTTCTTTGTATAACAACATTCGGTACTTCTCATTCAAACAGAGGTTGCAAGTTTTTGACACTTTGATTGCAATTAGGCATGAGACTTTAAGTATAATGCCTAATTTCAATCATCAGCTATAAATTACAAAATTAAAAATTAAATATTAATATTACAACTAGAATTATGGTGGCGTAAGTTCTAATAAATCCATGGAAACAAAGTTTGGCGTAACAAAATTTGTTTAATCTTCAGTTAATGAAGAAAGGAGAGATTTTGATGCTGGATTGTATGGTTTACATTGTTTAATAATTTTCCCTTTCTTGGAAGGTTTTTCTCTTTTAATAGCCATACTTCCTTAGATTACTCTCTATCATTCCTAATTGTATATTAAAAGTGTATTAAAAGATTTCAAATAGTTTGCATACCAAAGTTAAAAAAGTGTCTTACTGACTCCAAAATATACTTTTTTCTTTGTATTTTGGGTTGTTTGATTTAATGAAGAGTTTAATATTGTTATATTATTTAAATACAACACTATATTAAACAATATATATATATATATATATATATATATATATATATATATATATATATATATATATATATATATATATATATATATATATATATATATATATATATATATATATTTATATATATATATATATATATATATATATATATATTTATATATATATATATATATATATATTTATATATATATATATATATATATTTATATATATATATATATATATATATATATATATATATATATATATATATATATAAAATATTAATAAACATTTGCTTAGTTGAAGTCTAACCAAGTTTTTCAAGCTTGTTCAAGCTATAACAGTTTACATAAATTCTTGTAGCTTGAACATAATATAAAAACCAAACACTAACTATACTTTTTGAAGAATTTTTCCTTTTTTAAACATTTTGATGTTTTTAAAAATGGTTTATAAATGATGATTTTATACATATACTTAATATACTTAGATGAAATCTGGTTCATTAGATTTTTCAAATTTTTTATTCATTTCATTTAAGCAAATAAGTTAGGTCATAGGATTGTTCAGGAATCATTTCTTTATATTTGGTAATGACATTTTATGGCTTAAATCCCTGACATAAATCAAAAATGAGTTGTATGGTCTACATTATTGAATAAAAAGTTTTAATAAAAAATCATTACTATTTTTTCAGTATATGTTTTTTTGCACTTGTATGGGTTGGGCATTTCTCATAATGTGAATTTCTCTAATATACTTTTCAACTAAATCTTTTTCATGTGCTTGAACTTTTTTATTACTTTTAACTTTATCTTTTTGTTTTTTCTGAAACTGCAGGCTCTCCACATGCTGGTAATGCTACTAATCATCTGCATATTTATGTTCGACACGCCCTAATATCTCTAAGATAACAAAGTTCATGAAAAATTCAAAATTCATTATTTTTATACTCAAAACCAACCAATCAAATATTAGATATATCTTATTAAGTAATTGTGATTGTTTATATCCTTATAAAAAAATTTATTTATAAAAACAACTATTATAAATAAATGGTTCAATATTTATTGGGCCTTCTAATGTCATATTGGATTTATCTTTTAAGCATGAAGAGATTGTTGCAATGTTTGATCGCACAAAGGAGACATTAGAAGAAATGAAAAGAATTATCAATGATAAAGAAAGAGAACTTTTTTCAGACTCACATGATATTGTTGAAAGTCAAAAGCTTATAGCAACAAATTGCTTTCAAAAATGTCCAAAAGGTAGTTTTTTTTTTATTATTATTAAAATTTTTAATTTACTCATAGTTATTTTTTATTGTAAAAAAATTATTATCAGTTTGTCAAAGTGGTTTTACTTTCAAAAAGAAATGCACCAAAGTTTTGCACAGATGGATATCATGTAGAAAATTTGAAGAATGCTACAGAAAACGACCACAAATTGATTGTGTTCTCGACTGTGAACAAAAAAAGTTTTTACAAAAAGGTTTTAATTTTGTGACAAGGAAAAGAGCATTGGTAAGAAAAAAAGTTAAATTATTGATAAACTAAATATAATCAGTTTTATGTTGAAAAAATTTTAGTTTTAAATATTTAGAATAAATATTCTTAATTAATGTCATAATAATTATTAATTTGAAACTAATGCATTAACTAAATATATTATTATAATTTAGTATATAATTTTTTCTTATCTGAAGTTAATTTAATTTTCTTTTACTAATTTGTATAATAATTATAATGTATGTTAATAATGATATTTGTTTATTCGTCATTATTATGCTATAAATATTTTAGGAAAATTTTATGATTTTATTTTTGTAAAACAAAATGTTTTATTTTTTTTTTTTTTCTAATTTTATGTTATTTCATAATTCTGTTTTAATTTTTATTTACTTAAGACATTTGTTTATAATTCTATTAAAATCATTTCTTTTAATTTCTAAAAGTAAAAAAAAAGAAAAATTATTTTCAATTTGTTTTAAAAATTGAATTTTAAAACTTTCTAGATCATTAAAAAGTTGTTTATTGTTTTGATTTTTTTTTTCAAGAAAAATTTCTTGGCTTTGAAATCTCAATGGAAAAATTTATTCCTTTATGAAAGCTTACTGCAAAAAATCCCATTAAAAATGGCTGAAGAACTTGTGTCTAGCGTTAGAACAGAGGTGCATGTAGCAGACAAAGTTGTTGACTTGCTTACATTAACACCTGAAAATGATATCTTCAGGTTCCAACATTTTTGCATTTGGGGTAATTTAGCAGAACTTAATGACTTTTGTGTTGCTTTTAATATGAGCATAACACTTTTAAAACAAGATATGTCTATGTCTGATAATCTCTGCATCAATGAGAAAGTATTTGTTACTTTGGGTATGTATGACCACTCTTATTCTATTTTGATACATTTAAATAACTGATATTTTTAATAAATGATATTTTTATACATTTAAATAAAATATCTTTTATGGATACAAAAATCCTGGTAACTTAATCTCAGTTACATTTGCTAAAAAATATCTTTTCAGGTGCTGATGTATAAAAAAATATCTTTTCAGGTGCTGATGTGGTCAATAAGCAATATCCAGAAGTTGTTGAAATGGAAAAAGTATTAGTTTCAAAAGAAAAAGATTTTGAAAAACTTAAACATGAGAAGATAAAAATTGACAAACTTCTTACAAACCTGAGAAGAAACTTTAACAACCAAGAAGTTACAGCTGATTTTATGGTATATTATGTTAAACATTTAAAACTGGGAAACAGAGGGACAGAGCTGTGAGTGACAGAGCTGTGAGGGACAGAGCTATGAGGGACAGAGCTGTGAGGGACAGAGCTGTGCATTTTTCCTTAGACCAAGAACCAAGCTGATTTAACATAAGTTAAACGAATCATAAATTACATTGTGAATGTTACCAAGGAAATTTTAATAAAACCATTTTATGAAAACATTTAAACTATGGATGGGGCTCATTATTTTATGAAACCATTCAAACTATGGGTGGGGGTCATTATTTTTTGGTTACTAAAAGACATTAACTGATTATTTATCTATTTATTACCAGTTACTTTGGTATTGCAGTTGGTATCCATTTATTATTGGCTTTAATGCTACCATTTCTATTATCATATTTAACCCTTGATAAAAAATTTTTATTGCTAGCATTTCTCTTATTATATCCAACTCTTAATAAAAACATTTTTCTTCTATTTCAAGTTTTTTTTTTTCCTGAAATTATTTTTATTATTTTTGCTTATCTTGACAAAGATTTAAATGATTGTAAATGATTTTTTACTCAATTGAACTTGGATACCAAAGATAATCAATTCAAGTATTTCGAGTCTTTCATTCAAACTGTTTGGTTTAGTTATTTTGTAATGCTTGACTGTTTAAGGTCACTAGAAAAAATTACATATTAATTAATAGTTACAGATGTTTCTTTGATGCTAACATGTTTTTTTTTTTTTTTTTTTTACAGACATAATGTAAAATTATTTTACGAAGTGTTTTTTCTGCTAAATGTATGGATGCTTTTGTTACTATTACCAGTTATGTTTTTTTAGGAGCATTATTATCTCCCTAATTCAAATGAAGAGTACTTTAACAGAATTATCCGCAGCTCAGTTCCTGGATATTTGTTTCATCCTGATATTATATTCAGTTTATATGGGCCTAGAAAAGAATTTTCCACAAGTTACACATCTAACAGTAGTTTACATAGAAAAACAGTCAAAAAAAGCTGTAAGTTAGTTGAGCACTATATATTCAATAAATCAAGAGATGTTTAAAATCTTGTTTCAACATCTCCATAACCTGGAGACTTCATAGTTTTGAGCAGCTGTTGTATTTGAAAACATTCTTTAAGTCAATATTCATATGTGTTTAAAATTAATTTTGTTTCAGCAGTAACAATAAATAGTATTTTTAATTTTTTTTTAAATTTTATTATTTAATAAAAAGATTAATAATATTAAATTTGATAATAGTTTATTTAGTAATAATTTATTTAGTAATAATTTATTTAGTAATAATTCATTTAGTAATAATTTATTTAATAATAATTTATTTAGCAATAAATTTTTTAGTTATAGTTTGTTTAGTAATCAGTTATAAACAATTTATTTAAATTTAGGTGATGACTACTGTTCTTGTCTTACTCGAACTATACACATTTACAATGAAATTGCAAATGGTTTAAATACTGTTCTATCATCTGTAAAGCAAGAAAAAGATTTTCACATTAGAACAAGAGATAAACTAAAAAAGATTTTCCATTCAAATATTTCTTGTATGTGTTTGTTAACATTAATTATGAGGTTATTTGTGCTTTAGTCTTTTTATACATTTTTAATGACAAATTAATTTTTTAATAGAAATGCAAAATTAAGAATAAGTTTTCATATTTAATAGGTTGCCCAGAATTTGCTAAAAAATCAAGCTATGAAACACAGAAGTTTTTAGATTTACAATCATCTTTGGACAGAAGTAAGCCATTTTATAATTTTTATTTGTCACCAAATTTTTTTTTAATTGAAAAAAAAAAACAATCCACCTTTTAGATATGTAAAGATCCTTGTTAGCAAATTTTAGTCTTGTTTGCTCAACTAACATAAATTAACAGTCTCTAACATTAATTAGCATTAGTTTGCAGTTTTCAATAGGAACAGTTTCTAAACTATTTTGTAGTATTTTGTTTTGTATATTTCACGTATTATAGGTTTGCAGGGGCTATTCTACCATTCTAGGCCATTTTCAACAGCGCTGATATATAGACAGCATGTTTGGGTACGCCCAAATTCAGAAATGATTACCTTCTCTTTTTTTTATGGCAAATTCCGCTTTTTTTTAAATAAAATGACTACCATACAACAAATCTTCTTACAAAAAGGCGCCAGCGCAGGGTACTGCTGCCCAAATTTTTTTTTTAGAATAGCCCCTGGTTTGTTATATATTTTAAAAAAATATTCTTCAAAGTCCATTCAAATCAGTTTTTTATTGATTTAGCAGATAATGAATTTAATAGATTTTATAGATAATAATATAGAATTATGTGGGTTGTAGTTAGTAGAATTATGTAGGGTGTAATTAGTAGAATTATGTGGGGTGTAGTTAGTAGAATTATGTGGGTTGTAGTTAGTAGAACTATGTGGGGTGTAGTTAGGAGAGTTATGTGGGTTGTAGTTAGTAGAACTATATGGGGTGTAGTTAGGAGAATTATGTGGGGTGTAGTTAGGAGAATTATGTGGGTTGTAGTAGAATTATGTGAAGTGTAGTTATTACAAATAAGTTTAACCTAAGCATAACATTCTTTGGCTTCTAAAATCCTTATACAAATTTTTAAAAATTATTAACATTAGGTGTGAGGACTTTATGTTAGGTATGAATTTTGAGAAAGTTCGGGGTGACCTCAGAGTTTGACTAATGTAAGATAAATTCTCATTTAAAATCAGTTAAATTTATCAAATAACATTTGTCAATAAGAATTTTTAAAATTGTAATCAATTTTTATTTTTTATTTACATACAAGACATGTCAAGGTTAGGGTAATATGGGTCTGAGTGATGTATTTGGGTACACCGATTTGTGAATTAAACTTTTTTTTTTTTTAAAGAAAGGGAGGGGGTCAATTTTGCTCTTGCAAAAACACAAAAATGCCTTGTATGATTTATGATCAACTGAATATTACTGGGTTGTAAGTGTTGTTTGCATTTAATTGGTTGCTTGTCTATCTAACACCTTTTTTAAAAAGAAAAATTTTTAAAGGTATTAGTTAGACAAACTTCTTTTTGTTAACAGTCTTTTTAAAAAACAGCATACTGGAGCTTGAGTGGATTAGTTTTGTGTTCAAACCAGTATAATTTTGTCAGAACAGGCCTGAATACATCACCGCTACTGAACCTGACTTAGATCCAAATTCATATCTTATTTGACAGAGCTTGACATCAAAATAATTAACTAATATTTGACCATTTTTTATTTAAATTATTTAAGTAGTGTAGCGGTAAGGAGTAGTTGTAGTTTTAATGGAAGTTAGTGTCATTAAAGTGGAGGTTAGTATTTTTGAGGTGGACGTTAGTATTTTTGAGGTGAAGGTTTGTGTCTTTGAGGTGGAGGCAATCATCGAAGTGGAGGCTAGTATTATTGAGGTAGAGGTTAGTGTCTTTTAGGTGGAGTCTATTATCATTGAGGGGAAGATTAGTATTTTTGAGGTGGATGTTAGTGTCTTTGAGGTGGAGGCTATTATCATTGACATATTGTTATTTTTTAGACTTTGTTGTTGTTTACTATGTTCGTTTAAAATCTATTAACGATAATTTTTATGCAATAGTTATAAATTCCTAATTCTTTTTTAATTAATCTTCCTCTTTGATTTTCACTCTTTTTTTCAATATATTTTATTACAATTCTTATTTTGTCTAATTTTTGCAACTTATTTCAGGCTATCGACATTGGTTGAATGTAACTTTTAAACAGCTTGATGAATATGAAAGAAGTGTTGTTCCTGACTATATCAGCCAAATTTCTGATATTTTTCCAGATAGTGATCTCCAGTCTTTTCTTAATAGACTAAATCAACAAGCTAAGAGTAGTGTTAAAAGATCGGAAATTTCTGGGAGAACAAAAACTATGGAAATCGATAATATTGATGAAATTAAGCTGGTATTTTATTTTATAGTTTTATCGTAAATTTTACAGTAATTGTTGCGGGTAATTCCACATCAAATTATTACAAGCACTTATCTAATTTTTTTCTTCTACAAATTTCAAATGTTTTACCATCAGTAGGTTCATTAAGAAGTTAATCAGATAAGTGTTTTTACTAATTTATTATTGATGTGTTCTTTAAGAACATTGAGCACTCTATTTGTAGAATACATTAACATAATTTATATATATATATATATATATATATATATATATATATATATATATATATATATATATATATATATATATATATATATATATATATATATATATATATATATATATATATATATATATATATATATATATATATATATATATATATATAATATATATATTGTATGTTCAGGGTTTGGAAAAGTTATTGTTTTTAAATATAAGCACAAGTCTCGATGAGAAAATTACATTAATTCGCGAAGTAAAGAAAAAACTTTTATTAGCTCGTACACTTGGCAAGTTATGCAAGGTTAGTAGGTTAACTTCACCAGTAAAACATAGTTGGAGTAGTTACAGCGGTGATTACGAAGATCCAGAGGATTACGAAGATAAACAATAATAACAAAGATAGTTTTATATGTGTTGTAAATATATGTGTGTTAAAAACTAAAATGTACAAATAATGTATAACAATAGTTTTATGTCTTGATTTTTTCTAAACTTATACATATTTTCAGTTTACGTTGATTTAATTTGGAAATCAACTGCAATCTGAAAAAATTTAAAAAATCAGGTTTGGAGGCCAATACAAAAAAATTTTAGTTTTAAAAATGAAGTTCGTTGAGTTTGAATAAAGTTTTTCAGAATTTATTTTGTTTAATTTCAAATCAGATTTTTGTAACATTGACTTTATCAAGCCAACATGTTTAAAACTTTAAGAGCTTGCTATCTCCTCCTCCCACCTAATGTATCACTGATACTTAATATACCTATATATTAGACAAACGTGTTTTAAAGTTTTTCAAGTCAAGTAAAATGGAATTTTTTTTTACCAAAAAGCAAAAATCAATAGCTTGTTTTGCTTTAAGATTATTTTTGTATAGAATAAGATGATACATGATGCACCATAAAACACCTTGATCCATCATGAAACACCATGATGTACCATGAAACACCATGATACACCATGAAACACTGCAATTGTAGAGGTATAGAATTAATGGAAATCGCTTTCAAACGTTGAACACAGTATTAAACATTGATGTTGTTGATGTTCATGACATTTTTATTTTTCTATTTGATTAATTCTTTAGACTCATTTAGAATCCAACATTTTTGACGGTTCAAAATTAAAGGAAATTTTTTTTCTAAAAAAATTTCAACCTGGCACTCAAAACAAGCGGAGTAGAAAGTTTGGAAAATAATAGTTATATTGAATAATAATTAAAAAAAAAATGCAAAAATGTTTAAAAAAACTGCTCTATTGCTTGGGCTTGCTTATGCTAATAATAACTATTTGGTTTTATATCTTAAAATAAATTTATTAGTATTTTTATGATTCTATTAGAATTTTAATTTATTGTGTTTTTATGTTTTTTTTTGGAGGTATGGTAAGTGATTTATTCAGTTTTTATTTATATTGTACAGTAGATCTACACTTTTTACATCATATCATTAAAAAACTATTAGTGTTTTAAAAATTTGGGTATGGTTGGATTTGGCTATTTGTAGTGAGTCCTTTTTTACTGCAGTATGGATAAGGCGTAAGTCGCGGGGTAAAGCATAAGTGGCGATGACGTTTGTCTGACGAGATAAACTAGTTATAAATACTGATCCTCATCGAAACGCGAGTAATAATAGACGCGACTCTGTGGAAATGTTTATTATTTAATCACTACTCAAATTATGTTTACACATTAGCATTAATGTTTTTTGTTTCCATTCTGAGATCTTCCATTGTTAAGCATACTTTTTATTTTGTAATCTATTTTTTGTTTTATAAGTTTTTTGTTTGGTGATATATTTGTTGTATATCTTCGTTCACATTTGTGTTTATAAAACATTTTTTTATATTAACAATATAAATTATTATTATTGTTAAGTACTGTTAGGTGCATTGTCTGTGTTTTTTATTTTTAAATATTCCTCTATTAATCTTTATTTTTGTCTTGACAACTGTCAAAATATGCTTTGTTCGAAAAATAATTCTTCTTTATTCTAATATACTTCATTTCTTCCCTCAGGCGTTCACTGCTCGTGCGTGACCATTCGGCGAATTTTATATGCCAACGTTTTTAAATAATAATTTAAAAAAAAAAATGTAAAAATGTTTAAAAACTGCTCTATTGCTAATATTTTTCAAAACATATTTTTTTTAACTCTGTTTATTATAAATTTAATTTTGAATAAAAATCAACATTCTTTTTAACACTAGCTAATAATCCTGCTTCTTTTAAATACTTGATTGACATAGTTCTGAAAAAGGTTGTTTTTTTTTCTTCACTAATATAAGAACCGTCAAAGTTGTTGGGTTCTAGAGGAACCTCCAGAAATTATCTAAATCCAGAAATATTTTATAGTTTTCCTGTTGTAACTAATTGAACACTGTTTGTGTCTCAAGAATGTATTTTTTTCAAACTTTTTTTTTTTTGCGATGAAAATCGCTTTCCACTATTGAATAGCCCTGGGAGGGGTGGGTATTAGGGTGTGGTAATTTGTGGGTAATTTTTTATTTTTCAATGACAAAATAGTTAATAAGTTTTTGTTGCCAATTTTAAGTAATGTTATTCAATGTGTAAGCACCATTATTTTGTACACTACATTCCATAAATTCTTTAGTCCGTTGAACAAAATTCTTAAATTTTTATGCACTTATACGTGTAACTTAACAAAACATTTGTTTAGTTTGACTTGTACTTTAGAATTATTTTAAAAAATGCAAAAATATGCATCAAAGGACTAGACCGAGCTGTCAAGCCCAAGTGAAATAAAGAAAAATTTAGGAAGAGAGAAAGAATAAAATTAAAATATATATATTGAACAGATGTTCAGAACAAAACAAAGATACTATAGTAAAGCGCGTAGTAAAAAAAAAAAATAATTTAGACACCACGCATGTAAAAGAAATGTAATAAAAACAAAACAGGACACATAAGTAACCATAAATCTACAGTAAATACAAATGTTTAACATACCTAAAATAAAAATACAAATGTATAGATATATCAGTATATAAAATAAATAAATATAAATTTATAGGAGGCATAAGTTAAAGAAAAAACATTATTGCTTTTGTGTAATCAAAATTTATGTAGTGGTGGTAATAAACTTCTCCTCAGAATTGCGTTTATTATTACCGGCGTTTCAAAGAGGCTCAAAACCAATATCTAGTTTATCCCGTCAGATGAACATCATCGCTATTTATGCTTTACCCCGCGATTATGTGTGTTTCGTAAAATATTATTTCCAGCAACTTCTTTTTAATATTTATATTTAAAATTGTTATAATTACAATAATATAACAAAATTTAAGTATTTAGTGAAAATAATTATAATAAATTTCGTATTATTTTTTTATTTCCATTGTTTATTAGTACTTAAAAATGAGTTTAAAATAAAATATTGCCAACTTTTTTAAAATTAGATTGGAACCGTTGGGTGAGTCAAATGAGGAATTGTTAACTTGTATGTCTTTTAATTAAAATACTGCGTTTTTCTAAATTTTGTGTCATTTTGACTTTTTTTTACGGTGCTCATAATTTTATCACTGTACACTGTGGAAGAGCATGCACTTAGAAACTTACACCTCCTTCCTTACCATTGTCTCTTATCTGGCCTAAGTGACCTTGCACCACTTTCTTCTGAGCCAGAGACTCATCGTCCATAAAACGATGAATCTAAGCTTAATTCCTTTGAGTCTGAAAGGAAAGTATATGTTAGGCGTCTTTTAAAGCAAGAAAACAAAAGAAAACAAAAATTGCATCTAGGGAGCAACCTTTATTTCGTCTCTATAATACTACAAGAAAAAATGACAATAAAAGTTTATTATTGTTTTGTTGTCGTATTTACGCCCAAATAACAGTGCAAGTTCTAATTAATAATAAAGTTATAAATAATAAAGTTATAATAAAATAATTATTAAAATTTGTTGGAATACTCTTTAAAATGTAATTAAAGAAAAATGTTGAAATAACAAAAATTACAAAATAACAAATAACAAAAATTAATAACTATTTCTACGATAACCTGTTTAATTATAAAATTAGGCAAATTAGACAAAATAAATTAGACAAAAGGCATTGAATTTTAAACAAATTTCTAAATCTACATTGTCCATAATATCGTAGAAAACAGACTTTTCAAACAATTCTATCGCGAAAAATCGCTAATGGGGTACTGCAACAAATTTACATTTAAATAGTGTGCTGAAAAGAATTATAAACAGAATATTTACGTTTTATATGTACCAAATACAATTTTTTTTGAAGTATTATATCCCTCAATGTTAATCGCTTAAAAACCTATTCATTTTGTGAACAGCGAAATATATATATATATATATATATATATATATATATATATATATATATATAATATATATATATATATATATATATATATATATATATATATATTATATATATATATATATATATATATATATATATATATATATATATATATATATATATATATATATATATATATATATGTATATTAAAAACAAATTTGTTTATCTTTCAAATAAGGAAAAGTTTAATTATATATAAATTAAGAATAATTAAAATGAAAATTTGCCATAATATGTTTACTTAATTAATGTAAACAGTTATTTATATAACTAACCATTATAAACAGTTATACATGACATCTAGATATGCTTGGATAGATCGATAATTTTATACCCAAATAAGCCCATTACGCATGCCGCATGATTAATTAAAACAAAATGAAGGATGTCATTTTGACTTTGATTTTTATTGATTTAATTTAATAACTTATTAATAAATTGTTGAAAATAAATTTAGTTTTTGAAACCATTTCATTGGTTACTTTTTAATTGTTTATTTTTTCTAGACTTTCATTAAAAATATCCAGTGAGCATATTTAATATAGTTAAACATACATGAGTTTAATAAGTAACGCTGATCTTCTGAAAGCAATCATC